CCATCACCCCCCACCTGCACCATCACCCCCACCTACACAGCAGCCCTGCACCATCACCCCCACCTACACAGCAGCCCTGCACCATCACCCCCACCTACACAGCAGCCCCTGCACCATCACCCCCACCTACACAGCAGCCCTCCACCATCACCCCCACCTGCACAGCAGCCCCACCTGTACCATCACCCCCACCTACACAGCAGCCCCACCTTCACCATCACCCCCACATACACAGCAGCCCTGCACCATCACCCCCACCTGCACAGCAGCCCTCCACCATCACCCCCACCTGCACAGCAGCCCTGCACCATCACCCCCACCTACACAGCAGCCCCACCTGCACCATCACCCCCACCTACACAGCAGCCCTGCACCATCACCCCCACCTACACAGCAGCCCCACCTGCACCATCACCCCCACCTACACAGCAGCCCTGCACCATCACCCCCACCTGCACCATCACCCCCACCTACACAGCAGCCCCACCTGCACCGTCACCCCCACCTACACAGCAGCCTGCACCATCACCCCCACCTGCACCATCACCCCCACCTACACAGCAGCCCTGCACCATCACCCCCACCTACACCATCACCCCCAACCTGCAACCATCACCCCCACCTGCACCATCACCCCACCCTACAACAGCAAGCCCCACCTGCACCATCACCCCCACCTGCACCATCACCCCCAACCTACACAGCAGCCCACCTGCACCATCACCCCCACCTGCACAGCAGCCCCACCTGCACCATCACCCCCACCTGCACAGCAGCCCCACCTGCACCATCACCCCCACCTGCACCATCACCCCCACCTACACAGCAGCCCCACCTGCACCATCACCCCCACCTGCACCATCACCCCCACCTACACAGCAGCCCCACCTGCACCATCACCCCCACCTCCACCATCACCCCCACCTCCACCATCACCCCCACCTCCACCATCACCCCCACCTCCACCATCACCCCCACCTGCACCATCACCCCCACCTGCACCATCACCCCCACCTGCACAGCAGCCCTCCACAATCCATGTTTTACTGTATTTCTTCTGTTTTGCTTTTATTTTACATTTTTCATTTTATTTTTTTAATTGTTTTATTTTAACTTGTTTTTAATTTATCTTCATCTTTAATTGAAGGAGTTCATCAGGATGTCTTCAGGTGTTTCATTCTTCTCTGTTTTGATGTAATATTGTTGCTGTGTGTTCTAGTTCAGTGGTTCTCAACTGGTCAGGCCTCGGGACCCACTTTTTACTTGGTCAATACATCGCGACCCAACATTTTGAAGCACTCAAATCTATTCAACAAAAAATCGTGCTGTAATATATATATACGCTTTTGAGCATACAATATTAATGAAAGTGAAGTACAGTGCATATATCCCTTATATCCCTTCACAGAACTAAAGTATGCTTTTAAACAAGGTTTAATGAGATGATGGAATCAAAGCTGAACTATATAAAAAGGCACACATGCTGAAAACCCAACCCCAGCAGGGGGGGTCTGGGGGGATTCTCCCCCAGGAGATTTTTAGAAATACTAACATAAACTACGCATTCTGGTACACTCTGAGAAGAAAATAAATAAATCTATTTCTACCCGACATATTAATAATATTTTATGCCATTGTTTGTTTTTCACTGAGTTCTGACATCTTGCTGCGAGAAGAGGAGATAGTCTGTGTGATTTACTTTAAATTGTGGGTAAGGGTAGATAGCTCCCATTGTTCTGTGACCTCTCAGTCATCAAACCGGGGATCATATTTCATTATGTGTTCATTTTTATCTGAAGTTGTACCCATGGATGTATAAAGAAGAGTTCTACCTCAGTTATTCTCCGTGGGGACTTCCGGCAACAATCTTGATTCTGATTGGTCAGAAGACTCGAAAAAACATCAGCAAAGATGTTTTATTGAGAAGACGATCGTGACAGAAGTTTTCAAAACCGTTTATGGTCTCCGGTACTTCCAGTCCAACGCCGACTGCATGCACAGCGTTAGAAAATCGGGCCTTAAAAATAAAAGTTTGACTTTTTCCCCCCAAAAAAAAAAATTTCAATTTTCTTTTTTCAATTTTTTTTCTTCACTCACACATCCGCGACCCACTCGAAACGGGTCCGCGACCCACTTTTGGGTCGCGACCCACCAGTTGAGAACCACTGTTCTAGAGCAGTGGTTCCCAACCAAAGACCGCAGAGGGGGGGGGGGGGGGCAGGCCTCAGATGGTTTGAGGCCAAATATCATATTTAGACTTATTTTTATTTTATTTTTTATGTTTTTTACATATAATTGTAACGCAATACATGATTGTCACTAAAAGCCTTGTCTCTACATTACAATAAAATATAAAAAATAATTGATTAATTCATTTGAATAAAAATTCAAGTTAGTAGCTATTAAAGGCATAAAAAGACAGAAATGTATAATTCTTTCTTTGATAGAAATGTTTCTTCTGCCCGTAAAGTGTCCAAACCAGGCTTTTCTGAATAAGCGCATTTTTGAAACATAGTCATTGTCCATGCCGGTTTCAGATTATTTGTCACAGTTGCTCCGAACAGATCGGTCTCCTCCATTTTGTAGATTATTTTTAAATATTATTATTATTATTATTATTATTATTATTATTATTATTATTATTATTATTATTATTATTATTATTATTATTATTATTATTATTATTATATAGAGTATTGAGGACGTACGGGAGGTTTATATAGAGTATCAAGGAGGTAAGGGAGGTTTATATAGAGTATTGAGGACGTACAGGTGGGTTTATATTGAGTATTGAGGACATAAGGGAGGTTTATACAGAATATTAAGGAAGTACGGGTCTCTTTATATAGGGCTTTAAGTGCGTCACAAGTCCGTGCAGCAGAGTGGCGCAGCGGAAGCGTGCTGGGCCCATAACCCAGAGGTCGATGGATCGAAACCATCCTCTGCTACTTTTATTTTTCTGAAAGCAAGTGAAAAATTAAGCGACGACTTTTAATAAGATTTACAGAAAAATACACCCTTGTTTTCGCTTTTTCACTCAATTCTTCCTGATGCGAGGTTTCTAACTTCACAAGATATCTGGTTCGTTACAAACTGCGTCAGTGCTCAGATACAGCGATATTTAAATACTCCTGTCTGAAGAGCTCATCACTAAAGACAGTTTATCACCTCTTTAGTGTACTAGTTCATTATGTTATGATACTAGAGAAAGGGGTCTTTACTCCCTCCCTGTTTGTGCTGCTATGCGTTGATCAGGACGTACTTTAGTGGTCCTTCGGCCCCGTTCCAAACCGCCCCTCACACCCTACCCCGCACACTGAGATCAGATAAGATCAAATGGAACTTTATTTATCCCCGTGGGGAAGTGCAGGCGTTTATAGCAGCAACAGGTCAGAGTTAGAAACAGCATTAACAGAAGGTACAAATAAATATCAAATAGAATACAAATTAAAATAATAATACAACAAAATAAAGTGATAAAGTGTTAAGGTAAGTATTGAAACACGATATCACAGTGAAAAGTTGAGCATTTGTTTGAACATGTTAACTTACATAAGTGTGCAGATGTTAAAAACAGTATATGTGTTTACAGTCCTGGGTACTCTGACAAATACATGGAGAAGAACAAGGAGAGCTGCTACTACCAGTTTCTTGTGAGGATGATTTTATGATCCATGATTTTAGAAAGTGTCCGGATCATTCTGTAGGGTTTACTGACGGACAGGTGGAGCAACAGGTGAGTCAGGATAGAGGTGGGAAGTGGTGGAGTACAAATACTTTGTTACTGTACTTAAATACATGTTTCTGGTATCAGTACTTTACTCCACTACTTATTTTTCTGACCACTTTTTACTTTGACTTCTTACATTTTGAACACAAATACCTGTACTTTCTACTTCTCACATGTTGAACACAAATACCTGTACTTTCTACTTCTTACATGTTGAACTCAAATACCTGTACTTTCTACTTCTTACATGTTGAACACAAATACCTGTACTTTCTACTTCTTACATGTTGAACACAAATACCTGTACTTTCTACTTCTTACATGTTGAACACAAATACTTGTACTTTCTACTTCTTACATGTTGAACTCAAATACCTGTACTTTCTACTTCTTACATGTTGAACACAAATACTTGTACTTTCTACTTCTTACATGTTGAACACAAATACCTGTACTTTCTACTTCTTACATGTTGAACACAAATACCTGTACTTTCTACTTCTTACATGTTGAACACAAATACCTGTACTTTCTACTTCTTACATGTTGAACCCAAATACCTGTACTTTCTACTTTTTACATGTTGAACCCAAATACCTGTACTTTCTACTTCTTACATGTTGAACCCAAATACCTGTACTTTCTACTTCTCACATGTTGAACACAAATACCTGTACTTTCTACTTCTTACATGTTGAACCCAAATACCTGTACTTTCTACTTTTTACATGTTGAACCCAAATACCTGTACTTTCTACTTCTTACATGTTGAACCCAAATACCTGTACTTTCTACTTCTCACATGTTGAACCCAAATACCTGTACTTTCTACTTCTTACATGTTGAACACAAATAAGTACTAAGTAGGAATGGGAAGCACTTGGGGGAGTAGTAGAAGAGAACAGAGCATTAACAGCAGGATCACATTGGGTCACTCTGGATTAAACTCATCACTGCATCTGATTGGAAAACATCCAAATGGCAATTGTGATGGTTGCCAACAACCAGAGACATACATCATGTATTTTTTAGCTGCCCGGATTATAACAGACAAAGACTCATTCTGAAAACTGCACTGGAACAACTCAACATCAAGGACATGGATTTCAAGGCAATATACGAAAGTAAATCAAGAAATGAAGTTAACAAGCTGATCTTCAAGTTCCTCAATAGCACTGGTCTGAGGACAAAGATTTAGCATGGACATGAAATAAATCAACAGTAGGTGGCGATATATGCTCCAAGTGGAAGCGATTCGCCATTAAAGAAGAGAAGAAGAAGAAGAAGAAGAAGAAGAGGAAGAAGAGGCGACTGAGTCCTGCAGAGATTCACCCGGAGATTGAGGCTCCGCGGCGGGCAGCCTGCAGGTCCGCGCCGGGCTCCGGAGGTGGGTGTGTGTGTCGGTGTGTGTCTGTATGTCGGTGTGTATGTGTATCGGAGTGTGTGTGTGTGTGTGTGTGTCGGTAGCCACTGTGGCCACGGACATGGCTTCCTAAGATCAGGCAGCTCGCCAGCAGGATGTCTGCAGGAGTCATGGCGCAGAAACTCTTTAAACACCAGAAGCGTCTGAAGTAGAGATGTAATAGACAGTGGCGTTTTTATATGTACAAAAGTGGTGGGGCACAAAAAACGTAGATGTTTATAAGCTTCTGCAGTGAGGTTCATGGCTGCTGAGGCTCTGACTCTTCAGGTTTACGAATATTATATTTGGACCTAAATCAAAATATTCTATTATTTTCAAAAGCTTTTTTTGTCTGATGTTTCGATTAATTTTAAACAGACAGTTCAACAAAAAGATACCCAAAAAATGTAATTTTATCAGTTAAATATTGGATTGTTCTCTCTTAGTAAGATCCCATTTTCAATCAAATGGTGGTCTTACCTTGACTTGAAGATGAAGTCCATTTGCCTATCCTTCTGGACAAACTTACAGTCAATCAGCTCTGAATGATGTGAGATGATGTATGGTCAGTAGGGCCTGGCTCATTTCGTGGCATCTGCAGGCAGTGGCAAGTACTTCCGGCATATGCCACAGATGCCACAACTTGCCACAGATGCCACAACATGCCACCACATGCCACAACATGCCACAACTTGCCACAGATGCCACAACTTGCCACAGATGCCACAACTTGCCACAGATGCCACAACTTGCCACAGATGCCACAACATGCCACAACTTGCCACAGATGCCACAACTTGCCACAACTTGCCACAACTTGCCACAACATGCCACAACTTGCCACAGATGCCACAACTTGCCACAGATGCCACAACTTGCCACAGATGCCACAACTTGCCACAGATGCCACAACTTGCCACAGATGCCACAACATGCCACAACATGCCACAACTTGCCACAGATGCCACAACTTGCCACAACATGCCACAACTTGCCACAACATGCCACAACTTGCCACAGATGCCACAACTTGCCACAGATGCCACAACTTGCCACAGATGCCACAACTTGCCACAGATGCCACAACTTGCCACAGATGCCACAACATGCCACAACTTGCCACAGATGCCACAACTTGCCACAACTTGCCACAACATGCCACAACATGCCACAACTTGCCACAGATGCCACAACTTGCCACAACATGCCACAACTTGCCACAGATGCCACAACTTGCCACAGATGCCACAACTTGCCACAGATGCCACAACTTGCCACAGATGCCACAACTTGCCACAACTTGCCACAGATGCCACAACATGCCACAACTTGCCACAGATGCCACAACTTGCCACAACATGCCACAACATGCCACAACTTGCCACAGATGCCACAACTTGCCACAACATGCCACAACTTGCCACAGATGCCACAACTTGCCACAACTTGCCACAGATGCCACAACTTGCCACAGATGCCACAACTTGCCACAGATGCCACAACTTGCCACAACATGCCACAACTTGCCACAGATGCCACAACTTGCCACAGATGTCACAACTTGCCACAGATGCCACAACTTGCCGAGGCATCTGCCGCTGCTGAACGGGAGTTGCCACAAGATGCCAGAGTAAGAGAAGGTTTACGGTAGCTGCCACTCGCCTTCCGTGGCAAATGCTGCTGTTTAAACCCGTATTTATCGTGTAAAATGTCGCTGTTTAGGCATGACTTTATCGAACTGACCTGTACACAGGACTGATGTGCGATCTCTATTTTTCAAAAAGATTAAACATTATAATTTCTATTAGATTTTACTTGGAGAACGTGGTTTGTTAAAATAAATAAACGTGCTATTTTTATGATAATACTCAAGATATATTATAAGTGAATAAAGACAATTTATTGACATCAACAACAATGATTGACCTCTGGTTGACCAGAGGTGGGAAATAGGCTAACTAAGTATATATACTCAAGTACTGTACACTGTGGACCTCTGTGTCGCCTGTCAGCGCAGCTTACATGATGCCGTTTAAAATATAATATAAATATAATAATATAGGGCGGTGTCGGCCGTCAGCGAACCGATCCGGCCTTTCTGCGCGACTGTCACTCAAATGCGGGACATAGTCTTAATTTCGTGGTACTCGGGACAAATAATAAAGATGCTGTGTGTGCAGTGACAGTTCCGCACACAGCGGGACATCTGTTCACCCTAAACACACACGGTGCTGCCCCTCACACACACACGCTTCAAATCAAGTTGCATAAATGCTTGAGCCACGTTTTTATTACAACTACTGTGAAATCTGCCTATTATGTTTTCGTCATTATTACAACAAATACATACTTGCAACTGAGGCAATGATTTTATATTTATTAGACTATTAAAAAAATGCATGCTTCAAATAAGTGGGGGTACGGCGTACCCCCCGCGTCCAACGCCCACTACACCACTGGTCATGCCTAAACAGCGACATTTTACACGATAAATATGGGTTTAAATAGCAGCATTTGCCACGGAAGGCGAGTGGCAGCTACCGTAAACCTTCTGGCATCTTGTGGCAACTCCCGTTCAGCAGCGGCAGATGCCTCGGCAAGTTGTGGCATCTGTGGCAAGTACTTGCCACTGCCTGCAGATGCCACGAAATGCGCTTGCTGTCTCTCCGTATGGTGGGGATGGCAGCTCAGTGCCCCATGGTCATTATTTTTTTGCCACACACATTAAATAGAAAAATACTCTGAGCATGCGCAGTGTCGTTTTTACAGTCACCGTTCACTTAGACAGTGAGAGGGAGGGGCATGATCGGGTTTTGTCCCACATGGCTCAAAATGGTTCAATAGGCGAGTAGCATGAAGCTGGCCCCACCTGCCCCACCTGCCCCTAATGACCAGTCGCCACTGGTAATAGAGCAGATTGTGATGCAGACTGAGGGACTCTTTAAACACCTGAAGCGTCTGAAGTAGAGATGTGATAGAGCAGACTGTGATGCAGACTGAGGGACTCTTTAAACACCTGAAGCGTCTGAAGTAGAGATGTGATAGAGCAGACTGTGATGCAGACTGAGGGACTCTTTAAACACCTGAAGCGTCTGAACTAGAGATGTGATAGAGCAGACTGAGGGACTCTTTAAACACCTGAAGCGTCTGAAGTAGAGATGTGATAGAGCAGATTGAGGGACTCTTTAAACACCTGAAGCGTCTGAAGTAGAGATGTGATAGAGCAGATTGTGATGCAGACTGAGGGACTCTTTAAACACCTGAAGCGTCTGAAGTAGAGATGTGATAGAGCAGACTGAGGGACTCTTTAAAACACCTGAAGCGTCTGAAGTAGAGATGTGATAGAGCAGATTGTGATGCAGACTGAGGGACTCTTTAAACACCTGAAGCGTCTGAAGTAGAGATGTGATAGAGCAGACTGAGGGACTCTTTAAACACCTGAAGCGTCTGAAGTAGAGATGTGATAGAGCAGACTGGGGACTCTTTAAACACCTGAAGCGTCTGAAGTAGAGATGTGATAGAGCAGATTGTGATGCAGACTGAGGGACTCTTTAAACACCTGAAGCGTCTGAAGTAGAGATGTGATAGAGCAGACTGAGGGACTCTTTAAACACCTAAAGCGTCTGAAGTAGAGATGTGATAGAGCAGACTGAGGGACTCTTTAAACACCTGAAGCGTCTGAAGTAGAGATGTGATAGAGCAGACTGAGGGACTCTTTAAACACCTAAAGCGTCTGAAGTAGAGATGTGATAGAGCAGACTGAGGGACTCTTTAAACACCTGAAGCGTCTGAAGTAGAGATGTGATAGAGCAGACTGAGGGACTCTTTAAACACCTGAAGCGTCTGAAGTAGAGATGTGATAGAGCAGACTGAGGGACTCTTTAAACACCTGAAGCGTCTGAAGTAGAGATGTGATAGAGCAGACTGAGGGACTCTTTAAACACCTGAAGCGTCTGAAGTAGAGATGTGATAGAGCAGACTGAGGGACTCTTTAAACACCTGAAGCGTCTGAAGTAGAGATGTGATAGAGTAGATTGTGATGCAGACTGAGGGACTCTTTAAACACCTGAAGCGCCTGAAGTAGAGATGTGATAGAGTAGATTGTGATGCAGATTGAGGGACTCTTTAAACACCTGAAGCGTCTGAAGTAGAGATGTGATAGAGTAGATTGTGATGCAGACTGAGGGACTCTTTAAACACCTGAAGCGTCTGAAGTAGAGATGTGATAGAGCAGACTGAGGGACTCTTTAAACACCTGAAGCGTCTGAAGTAGAGATGTAATAGAGTAGATTGTGATGCAGATTGAGGGACTCTTTAAACACCTGAAGCGTCTGAAGTAGAGATGTGATAGAGTAGATTGTGATGCAGACTGAGGGACTCTTTAAACACCTGAAGCGTCTGAAGTAGAGATGTGATAGAGCAGACTGAGGGACTCTTTAAACACCTGAAGCGTCTGAAGTAGAGATGTGATAGAGCAGACTGAGGGACTCTTTAAACACCTGAAGCGTCTGAAGTAGAGATGTGATAGAGTAGATTGTGATGCAGACTGAGGGACTCTTTAAACACCTGAAGCGTCTGAAGTAGAGATGTGATAGAGCAGACTGAGGGACTCTTTAAACACCTGAAGCGTCTGAAGTAGAGATGTGATAGAGCAGACTGAGGGACTCTTTAAACACCAGAAGCGTCTGAAGTAGAGATGTGATAGAGTAGATTGTGATGCAGACTGAGGGACTCTTTAAACACCTGAAGCGTCTGAAGTAGAGATGTGATAGAGTAGATTGTGATGCAGACTGAGGGACTCTTTAAACACCAGAAGCGTCTGAAGTAGAGATGTGATAGAGTAGATTGTGATGCAGACTGAGGGACTCTTTAAACACCTGAAGCGTCTGAAGTAGAGATGTGATAGAGCAGATTGTGATGCAGACTGAGGGACTCTTTAAACACCTGAAGCGTCTGAAGTAGAGATGTGATAGAGTAGATTGTGATGCAGACTGAGGGACTCTTTAAACACCTGAAGCGTCTGAAGTAGAGATGTGATAGAGCAGATTGTGATGCAGACTGAGGGACTCTTTAAACACCAGAAGCGTCTGAAGTAGAGATGTGATAGAGTAGATTGTGATGCAGACTGAGGGACTCTTTAAACACCAGAAGCGTCTGAAGTAGAGATGTGATAGAGTAGATTGTGATGCAGACTGAGGGACTCTTTAAACACCTGAAGCGTCTGAAGTAGAGATGTGATAGAGTAGATTGTGATGCAGACTGAGGGACTCTTTAAACACCAGAAGCGTCTGAAGTAGAGATGTGATAGAGCAGATTGTGATGCAGACTGAGGGACTCTTTAAACACCTGAAGCGTCTGAAGTAGAGATGTGATAGAGCAGACTGAGGGACTCTTTAAACACCTGAAGCGTCTGAAGTAGAGATGTGATAGAGTAGATTGTGATGCAGACTGAGGGACTCTTTAAACACCTGAAGCGTCTGAAGTAGAGATGTGATAGAGCAGACTGAGGGACTCTTTAAACACCTGAAGCGTCTGAAGTAGAGATGTGATAGAGCAGACTGAGGGACTCTTTAAACACCTGAAGCGTCTGAAGTAGAGATGTGATAGAGCAGACTGAGGGACTCTTTAAACACCTGAAGCGTCTGAAGTAGAGATGTGATAGAGCAGACTGAGGGACTCTTTAAACACCTGAAGCGTCTGAAGTAGAGATGTGATAGAGCAGACTGAGGGACTCTTTAAACACCTGAAGCGTCTGAAGTAGAGATGTGATAGAGTAGATTGTGATGCAGACTGAGGGACTCTTTAAACACCTGAAGCGCCTGAAGTAGAGATGTGATAGAGTAGATTGTGATGCAGACTGAGGGACTCTTTAAACACCTGAAGCGTCTGAAGTAGAGATGTGATAGAGCAGACTGAGGGACTCTTTAAACACCTGAAGCGTCTGAAGTAGAGATGTGATAGAGCAGACTGAGGGACTCTTTAAACACCTGAAGCGTCTGAAGTAGAGATGTGATAGAGCAGACTGAGGGACTCTTTAAACACCTGAAGCGTCTGAAGTAGAGATGTGATAGAGCAGACTGAGGGACTCTTTAAACACCTGAAGCGTCTGAAGTAGAGATGTGATAGAGCAGACTGAGGGACTCTTTAAACACCTGAAGCGTCTGAAGTAGAGATGTGATAGAGTAGATTGTGATGCAGACTGAGGGACTCTTTAAACACCTGAAGCGCCTGAAGTAGAGATGTGATAGAGTAGATTGTGATGCAGACTGAGGGACTCTTTAAACACCTGAAGCGTCTGAAGTAGAGATGTGATAGAGTAGATTGTGATGCAGATTGAGGGACTCTTTAAACACCTGAAGCGTCTGAAGTAGAGATGTGATAGAGTAGATTGTGATGCAGACTGAGGGACTCTTTAAACACCTGAAGCGTCTGAAGTAGAGATGTGATAGAGTAGATTGTGATGCAGACTGAGGGACTCTTTAAACACCTGAAGCGTCTGAAGTAGAGATGTGATAGAGCAGACTGAGGGACTCTTTAAACACCTGAAGCGTCTGAAGTAGAGATGTGATAGAGCAGACTGAGGGACTCTTTAAACACCTGAAGCGTCTGAAGTAGAGATGTGATAGAGTAGATTGTGATGCAGACTGAGGGACTCTTTAAACACCTGAAGCGTCTGAAGTAGAGATGTGATAGAGCAGACTGAGGGACTCTTTAAACACCTGAAGCGTCTGAAGTAGAGATGTGATAGAGCAGACTGAGGGACTCTTTAAACACCAGAAGCGTCTGAAGTAGAGATGTGATAGAGTAGATTGTGATGCAGACTGAGGGACTCTTTAAACACCTGAAGCGTCTGAAGTAGAGATGTGATAGAGCAGATTGTGATGCAGACTGAGGGACTCTTTAAACACCTGAAGCGTCTGAAGTAGAGATGTGATAGAGTAGATTGTGATGCAGACTGAGGGACTCTTTAAACACCTGAAGCGTCTGAAGTAGAGATGTGATAGAGCAGATTGTGATGCAGACTGAGGGACTCTTTAAACACCAGAAGCGTCTGAAGTAGAGATGTGATAGAGTAGATTGTGATGCAGACTGAGGGACTCTTTAAACACCAGAAGCGTCTGAAGTAGAGATGTGATAGAGTAGATTGTGATGCAGACTGAGGGACTCTTTAAACACCTGAAGCGTCTGAAGTAGAGATGTGATAGAGTAGATTGTGATGCAGACTGAGGGACTCTTTAAACACCAGAAGCGTCTGAAGTAGAGATGTGATAGAGCAGATTGTGATGCAGACTGAGGGACTCTTTAAACACCTGAAGCGTCTGAAGTAGAGATGTGATAGAGCAGACTGAGGGACTCTTTAAACACCTGAAGCGTCTGAAGTAGAGATGTGATAGAGCAGACTGAGGGACTCTTTAAACACCTGAAGCGTCTGAAGTAGAGATGTGATAGAGCAGACTGAGGGACTCTTTAAACACCTGAAGCGTCTGAAGTAGAGATGTGATAGAGCAGACTGAGGGACTCTTTAAACACCTGAAGCGTCTGAAGTAGAGATGTGATAGAGCAGACTGAGGGACTCTTTAAACACCTGAAGCGTCTGAAGTAGAGATGTGATAGAGCAGACTGAGGGACTCTTTAAACACCTGAAGCGTCTGAAGTAGAGATGTGATAGAGTAGATGCAGAAGTGAACAGATATTGAAGTTCTATGTAAAACAGAACAAGCTAAAAATAGAATGTAAAATTCAATGTGAAATAAAATAATGATTCTTGTAACAGTAAATAATAAATAAATTAGATGCAATATATTATATTTGTTTATCAACAACACATCCGAATGTCACTTTTTTCTTCACATTTGACATAAAGAATTATTCTCAGAAAATAACCCTTTTTTCAGAGTTAGGCTTTTTTCCTCATTTGAATTTCTTTCCTCGTACTTTCACCTTGACTTAACAATTACACTTTGTTCTCAGACTTTCAAGTTTTTTCAAAATGTCACTTTTTTTTTCAAATGTTCATTAACTTAGAATTTGACTTTTTCTCATAATTTCTTTTTTATTTGTATCTGAATTCTTCCCAATACTGTTCAGAATATCCCTTAATAATGCCATGTGTGTGCAGGATGAGCGTCTGATGTCTGCAGGATGTCTGCAGGATGAGCGAGCCGTCCCCTGACCTCTGGGGTGAGTTCATATATTCAGTTGACCTCTCAACAAGAACCAGGGTCACATCTAAGGCCCCGCTCACACGGGACCGTTTGCGTTTATGCACAGTATGCGTATTCAAAAAAGTCTTCCGTTCACATGCATTCGTTTCATTTAACGTGTCTGTTCAAACGAGACCGCTGGAAACGCTGTAGTACATATGCCGGGACTGTAAGTGGCGCTGTAACTTCCGCCAAAATACACCAAAAGCAGCGAAGAAGAGCAGCCGCAGCAGCCCCCGCAGCAATGTTGCCATGGCTACCCTTCTGTTTAAGCCCCACCGTGGATTTAGCAACATGTAGTTCATGTAATTCTCCATGTCCACTTGTTGCTGATGGTTGTGGTAGAGGAGCTGTATATTTTTGCACTAATATCTGTAGCATGGTCAGTAGCAGTAGCACTAGCAGTAGCTACTGACAGGAGGAGGAGCATGTCTCCGTGGAGAGGACTCGCTCAGAGAGATATTCTCTACAAACACCGGGTGAGATCCTCCTTTGTCAATATAATGGATCAATGCATGAAATCTGACTCTGTTTATTTTGTTTAAGGAGTATATTGGGCGTTAACAATTCTGGTTTGCCTTTTATAATATTATTTCATTCAAGAACCCCTTGTGCGTTTAATTAACACAGCCATGCTACAGCAGTGAGCAGGAGAGGCGGGGAGAGGCGGGGCTATCGCTATTTTTTCAGGAAATATTCGTATAGAGGTGATTACACGGACTCGGTTGACCCCCCAGAGCGTTTCGTTTGCAAATCTATCCACCTTGGGACCCGTTATCGTTTGTGGGGTCAGTTTCTATCGGCCTCGTGTAAATAATAGGGCTATACGCACGCGAAACTATGCAGATACAAGCAGTTTTCTCCTCGTGTAAACGGCGCCTAAGACTCACCCTTATCTTTTCTCAGCCTGAACTCAGCTGTTTAGTTTAACAGCGCACACACAGACTCACAGCCAGGCTGAGTTCAGGCTGGGTTTCGCTGTGTCTCTCTGTCTCGCAGACCCCACGCAGCAACCAGGAAACGACCCCAGTAATCCAGCTCACACTGTCCGCTCCTCGAGCCTCAAAGGGCGGAGCAGCGAGCCCCCCAACGTCCCGCCAACACGGCACCCAGACCCCACGCAGCATTCTCATCTGTTTGTCATTACTGGTGTCATTTCCTGGTTGCTAACAAACGCCATTAGCCGCGTTCACACCAAGTACTTTCCTGTACTTAGTTCCGGCACTAAGAGCCCTGGCGCTTTTAACCCCAGGGCACTTAGTACAGATCGCGTTCACACCGGAGTACTTTTCCCTGAGGGAAGATTACAAGTACAGTAGGTGGCGGTAAGCACCTTAAAGTTGTTTGCAATCCGCTACAAAACAAGAGAAGAAGAAAAACTTCCCGCGTATACTGTCTGTTGTTTACCTTCCGACCTCAGACATGATGGAGATGGAGTCGACTGAAGTTGTGCTGTTTGTGCTCATGTTATACAGCTTTGTAACTTCGTTAATGCGGCCAGAGCCTGAGCCTATTAGGCGTCCGACAAAAATCCGGAGCCGCCACACGTCGAATGCTATAATCGCAAAGTTTCTTCAGCATCAAAAGCTTTAGGAAAAGGATTGGCCGACGGAAAGCACACATGACTGCCATGTTTCACCGTAGGATGGCTGATACAGGATCTGTTTAATCGCCATGTCGGTTTATGTCAGTTGTACATGTCAGTAAACATTGTCAATATAAAATAAAGTGTCAGTTGTACTATATAATAACAGTAATAACAATATAAAATAAACTCCCAGCTGTAGGGAGTCTCAGCAGCAAACCCACCTTTATTATATATCTTCCTGAGACCCACTGCATCCGTCTGCCATAAACACTATGCAAACATACATGTTAGTTTTGGCCCATAGTGGACTCCATGTTGTGTTGTGTGAAATGGGGGGGAATTAAAAGTTTAGGTCAAATAATATTTAAAATGATATAAATTATCATATGTGTGTATGTGCCCCTGCCATTCCCCCACAAGGTTGCAACATTGATGATAAATAATGACAAATAAAGCTTTGCCAGTTTATAACGCTGATGAAACATGATGGTATCAGAATAATCACTTACATGTGATGTATAGGATGCTACACAGGTCACAAAAGATAAAGTGTCAGGAGAAATAAGCTTAATCGCCATGTCGGTTTTTCTTTATTGCACTCTCAAGACATAACATTAAATAGAACAATTTTAAATGTAAATAAAGTGTCAGTTGTACATGTCAGTAAACATTATATATAAAATAAAGTCATAACGGTAATAACAATATAAAATAAACTGTCCCAGGTGTAGGGATATTCTCAGCAGCATACACACCTTAGTGCAACGTTGTGTGTCGTGTGTCAGTATTTACAAAAACTATACCAAATAAACTGTTATTAAATGCAGTTTGTCGCTCATCCTGCCGCTGCGCCGACGCTTCCTCATGGCGCAGCGCCCACACTTCATCCTGCCGCTGCACCGACGCTTCCTCATGGCGCAGCGCCCACACTTCATCCTGGTGCTGCTGGCGCTCCATCTGCTGCTTGAACACTTCTGCCTGGCGCTCCATCGAGGTGAGCATCTTGTCCTCCGTTTCCTGGGCCTTGGTGAACAGCACCATCTGATCTCCACGCAGCGACTCATTCACCACGGCACGCCGGTCCTCCAACGCCTGGGCGGTGTCAAAGAAATTCGCATCCCGTGTCCACTTTCCTAAGAGGGGAAAATAAGCAATATACAAGATCTTAGTCGCCATGTAGTTTTACAACATACTAGGAATGTGTTTTTTGTATTTTCACTAATAGAATTAAGGTTTCACAAATCTGAAACTGTGTTATAAAGAATCTTTTGACTCTCTGGGATAATCCAGTCCAGATTTGATGAGTCTAGGTATAGTGGTTTTAGATCAGGACCTGGTCTAATGTGGTCTACATGTAAAAAAAGCACTGAAATCTCCCTTTTTTGTATTTTCACAAATAGAATTAAGGTTTCACAAATCTGAAACTGTGTTATAAAGAATGTTTAGACCCTCTGGGATAATCCAGTCCAAATAAATCGGCTATGCAGCGATTCAAGAGGTTCAAACACGGAGGATTGTTCCTTTTTGAAGAGTGCTTCATGTATGCTTGAACTTTGTTTAATGTTGTTGAGGCAAGTTAAACATAAAATATGATGAATATTATGAAATAAACATGATTGTGAACATCAGTTCGATGCGTAACGTTCTTTCAAGACAAAGTTACAGTGTGTGTACCTTTGCGTTTGGTTGCTGGTAAGGAGGACGAGCTAGCGCTGTGATCTAGAATGCAAAGCTCGCTTGTTTCCAATCCTGAGAGTTGTCCAGCCTCGCCTGAAACACACGATTAGTGCCATGAGTTAGTGAAGCAAATTACAGAAACACTGCACAGTTATTCACAAGTCAAAACGTTTTCATACAGCGGAGAATATCTAGCTAGCTAGATGTAGCTAGCCGGGGCCGGTGTTAGCCTATTATGGCTAGCATGGCTAGCTTGATCTACTGAGCAAATAAAAGTACATCTGAGACCATTATTGTGCAGATTAAAACCCCAGTGCATGTAGTTGATTTTACCTTCATCGTGGTAGTCATCGTTGGCCACTGAATCCGCCGTTTGTAGTCCTGCCTGAGTTTCTTTATATTTAGCCGGCTGTGCACAATTCCCAGGTCGAGTGAAAGCTACCGAACTGGCTTCAGTAGCATTCCTTGGGTCGCGTCCTCGGCGTAGATCTCCAGAAGCGCCGACACCTCCTCATCATTTCTTGATGCTTGCCATAACTGCTTTCAAAAACAAACACAACGCACGGAGCGTTGTGTTTTTGTAGCGAGGAAAAACAATGGCGTCTCCACACAACATTTTCAGAGTTGTACGGGCGTGGTTTGCAATTCGCCCAGCCAATCAGCACTGGGGAACTTTTGGAGCACTTTTCACCCACAGAAAAGTACGCTCTCTGAGCTGGCTCTAAAAATGGGGGTAAAAGTACCCGAGATTAAGTACGATTTTTGGTGTGAACGCGACATAAGGGGTACTCACGGAACTAAAACGCGAAAAGTACGGTGAAAGTACTCCGGTGTGAACGCGGCTATTGTTGGTGTGAACGCGACATAAGGGGTACTCACGGAACTAAAACGCGAAAAGTACGGTGAAAGTACTCCGGTGTGAACGCGGCTATTGTAACACATAATCACTGATGTTCAGCTGTAACGGTGGTGGACTCATCAGAACAGAGTGGGCGAGCTGACCAATCAGAGCACAGTGGGCTCACAGGGAGGGGGGGGCAGGAGCTCCAACAAGGCGTGTAGGACAGAGAGTGAATACACATACTATACAGAGACGCTGTATGAGAAACCAATGTGAGTTTGGAACATTGAACAATGTCAATCTGTTCTAGTAGACCTCAACAATGGAACTATGATCAGTAGAAATGGCCATTGCCAATATTTTTGACCAACCCATTTTTCACTATATTTGATATAAAGCAAGCCTAAAAACTTATTTTATTTTCCTAAATATACCAAAAGCTACTAAATAGCACTGGTGAATGTTTGATTATATCAAGTTTTATCAATGCTGGAAACATTGGGAAGGATTTTAGGAAAATGTTCCATAACTCTCTCTACCTACCTACCTACCTACCTACCTACCTACTGTACCTACCGACCGACCTACCTACCTACCTACCTACCTACTGTACCCTACCTACCTACCTACCTACCTACTGTACCTACCTACCTACCTACTGTACCTACCTACCTACCTACTGTACCTACCTACCTACTGTACCTACCTACCTACCTACTGTACCTACCTACCTACCTACTGTACCTACCTACCTACCTACCTACCTACTACCTACTCTACCTACCTACCTACCTACTGTACCTACCTACCTACCTACTGTACCTACCTACCTACTGTACCTACCTACTGTACCTACCTACCTACCCTACCTACCTACCTACCTACTGTACCTACTGTACCTACCTACTGTACCTACCTACTGTACCTACTGTACCTACCTACCTACCTACCTACTGTACCTACCTACCTACCTACCTACTGTACCTACCTACCTACTGTACCTACCTACTGTACCTACCTACCTACTGTACCTACCTACTGTACCTACCTACCTACCTACTGTACCTACCTACCTACCTACCTACTCTACCTACCTACCTACTGTACCTACCTACCTACCTACCTACTGTACCTACCTACCTACCTACTGTACCTACCTACCTACCTACTGTACCTACCTACCTACTACCTACTGTACCTACCTACTGTACCTACCTACTGTACCTACCTACTGTACCTACTGTACCTACCTACCTACTGTACCTACCTACCTACTGTACCTACCTACCTACCTACCTACTGTACCTACCTACCTACGTACCTACCTACTGTACCTACCTACCTACCTACCTACCTACTGTACCTACCTACCTACCTACTGTACCTACCTACCTACTGTACCTACCTACCTACCTACCTACTGTACCTACCTACTACCTACCTACTGTACCTACCTACCTACCTACCTACATACGTACCTACCTACGTTCTTTCAAGACAAAGTTACAGTGTGTGTACCTTTGCGTTTGGTTGCTGGTAAGGAGGACGAGCTAGCGCTGTGATCTAGAATGCAAAGCTCGCTTGTTTCCAATCCCGAGAGTTGTCCATCCTCGCCTGAAACACACGATTAGTGCCATAAGTTAGTGAAGCAAATTACAGAAACACTGCACAGTTATTCACAAGTCAAAACGTTTTCAGAGCGGCCGAGAATATCTAGCTAGCTAGATGTAGCTAGCTCGGAGCCTAGCATGGCTAGCTTGATCTACTGAGCAAATAAAAGTACATCTGAGACCATTATTGTGCAGATTAAAACCCCAGTGCATTTAGTTGATTTTACCTTCGTCGTGGTAGTCATCGTTGGCCACTGAATCCGCCGTTTGTAGTCCTGCCCGAGTTTCTTTATTTTTAGCCGGTGGGGCTGTGCACAATTCCCAGGTCGAGTGAAAGCTACCGAACTGGCTTCAGTAGCATTCCCTGGGTCGCCTCCTCGGCGTAGATCTCCAGAAGCGCCGACACCTCCTCATCATTTCTTGATGCTTGCCATAACTGCTTTCAAAAACAAACACAACGCACGGAGCGTTGTGTTTTTGTAGCGAGGAAAAACAATGGCGTCTCCACACAACATTTTCAGAGTTGTACGGGCGTGGTTTGCAATTCGGCCAGCCAATCAGCACTGGGGCACTTTTGGAGCACTTTTCACCCACAGAAAAGTACGCTCTCTGAGCTGGCTCTAAAAATGGGGGTAAAAGTACCCGAGATTAAGTACGATTGTTGGTGTGAACGCGACATAAGGGGTACTCACGGAACTAAAACGCGAAAAGTACGGTGAAAGTACTCCGGTCTGAACGCGGCTATTGTAACATATAATCACTGATGTTCAGCTGTAACGGTGGTGGACTCATCAGAACAGAGTGGGCGAGCTGACCAATCAGAGCACAGTGGGCTCACAGGGAGGAGGGGGCAGGAGCTCCAACAAGGCGTGTAGGACAGAGAGTGAATACACATACTATACAGAGACGCTGTATGAGAAACCAATGTGAGTTTGGAACATTGAACAATGTCAATCTGTTCTAGTAGACCTCAACAATGGAACTATGATCAGTAGAAATGGCCATTGCCAATATTTTTGACCAACCCATTTTTCACTATATTTGATATAAAGCAAGCCTAAAAACTTATTTTATTTTCCTAAATATACCAAAAGCTACTAAATAGCACTGGTGAATGTTTGATTATATCAAGTTTTATCAATGCTGGAAACATTGGGAAGGATTTTAGGAAAATGTTCCATAACTCTACCTACCTACCTACCTACCTACTGTACCTACCTACCCTACCTACCTACCTACCTACTGTACCTACCTACCTACCTACCTACCTACCTACCTACCTACTGTACCTACCTACCTACTGTACCTACCTACCTACTGTACCTACCTACCTACTGTACCTACCTACCTACCTACTGTACCTACCTACCTACTGTACCTACCTACCTACCTACTGTACCTACCTACCTACTGTACCTACCTACTGTACCTACCTACCTACTGTACCTACCTACCTACCTACCTACTGTACCTACCTACCTACTGTACCTACCTACCTACCTACTGTACCTACCTACCTACCTACTGTACCTACCTACCTACTGTACCTACCTACCTACCTACCTGCTGTACCTACCTACCTACCTACCTACTGTACCTACTGTACCTACCTACCTACCTACTGTACCTACCTACCTACCTACCTACCTACCTACCTACCTACTGTACCTACCTACTGTACCTACCTACCTACCTACTGTACCTACCTACCTACTGTACCTACCTACGTACTGTACCTACCTACCTACCTACCTACTGTACCTACCTACCTACTGTACCTACCTACCGACCTACCTACCTACCTACTGTACCTACCTACCTACTGTACCTACCTACCTACCTACCTACTGTACCTACTGTACCTACCTACCTACTGTACCTACCTACCTACCTACTGTACCTACCTACCTACCTACTTACCTACCTACCTACCTACTGTACCTACCTACCTACTGTACCTACCTACCTACTGTACCTACCTACCTACCTACTGTAACTACCTACTGTACCTACCTACCTACTGTACCTACTGTACCTACCTACCTACCTACCTACTGTACCTACCTACCTACCTACCTACTGTACCTACGTACCTACCTACCTACCTACCTACTGTACCTACCTACCTACTGTACCTACCTACCTACTACCTACCTACTGACCCTACCTACCTACCTACCTACCTACTGTACCTACCTACCTACCTACCTACTGTACCTACCTACTGTACCCTACCTACCTACCTACTGTACCTACCTACCTACCTACTGTACCTACCTACTGTACCTACCTACCTACTGTACCTACCTACCTACTGTACCTACCTACCTACCTACCTACTGTACCTACTACTGTACCTACCTACCTACCTACCTACTGTACCTACCTACTGTACCTACCTACCTACCTACCTACCTACTGTACCTACCTACTCTACCTACCTACCTACCTACCTACTGTACCTACCTACCTACCTTCCTACCTACCTACCTACTGTACCTACCTACCTACTGTACCTACCTACCTACTGTACCTACCTACCTACCTACTGTACTACCTACTGTACCTACCTACCTACCTACCTACTGTACCTACCTACTGTACCTACCTACTGTACCTACCTACCTACTGTACCTACCTACCACCTACCTACCTACCTACCTACTGTACCTACCTACTGTACCTACCTACCTACCTACCTACCTGTACCTACCTACTGTACCTACCTACCTACCTACCTACCTACTGTACCTACCCTACCTACCTACTGTACCTACCTACCTACCTTCCTACCTACCTACCTACTGTACCTACCTACCTACTGTACCTACCTACTGTACCTACCTACCTACCTACTGTACCTACCTACTGTACCTACCTACCTACCTACCTACTGTACCTACCTACCTACCTACCTACCTACCTACCTTCCTACCTACCTACTGTACCTACCTACCTACCTACCTACTGTACCTACCTACCTACTGTACCTACCTACCTACTGTACCTACCTACCTACCTACTGTACCTACCTACCTACCTACTGTACCTACCTACCTACTGTACCTACCTACCTGTACCTACCTACCTACTGTACCTACCTACCTACCTACCTACTGTACCACCTACCTCTACCTACCTACCTACTGTACCTACCTACCTAACTACCTACCTACCTACTGTACCTACCTACCTACCTACCTACCTACTGTACCTACCTACCTACCTACTGTACCTACCTACCTACCTACCTACCTACTGTACCTACCTACCTACCTACCTACTGTACCTACCTACCTACCTACCTACCTACCTACCTACTGTACCTACCTACCTACCTACTGTACCTACCTACCTACCTACCTACTGTACCTACCTACCTACCTACTGTACCTACCTACTGTACCTACCTACTGTACCTACCTACCTACCTACCTACCTACTGTACCTACCTACCGACCTTCCTTCCTTCCTTCACACATTTCTTCTGGTCTTGTCTCAGACCCCGGGAGACCTGAAGCCCTGCACAGAGTCCTGCAGGACGTCAAGTCTCCGTGCCTTCAGTCAGTGCTGCAGGGCAAAGAGCCCGAGGAGGAAGAGCCCGAGCTTAAGAGGAGGAAGATAGACCTCATCTTCAAGGACGTCCTGAAGCTGAAGGAGGAGGAGGAGGAGGAGGAGGAGGAGGAGGAGGAGGAGCAGTGTGGAGGGAAACACCTCCTTCAGATCAAGAAGATTCAGGTGGGGTCTGTTCAGTATGTAGCTGTATTAGTACACACTGATGCAGTACTGTAGTATGTAGCTGTATTAGTACACACTGATGCAGTACTGTAGTATGTACGTTACTGAGTACACACTGATGCAGTACTGTAGTATGTAGCTGTATGAGTACACACTGATGCAGTACTGTAGTATGTAGCTGTATTAGTACACACTGATGCAGTACTGTAGTATGTAGCTGTATTAGTACAAACTGATGCAGTACTGTAGTATGTAGCTGTATTAGTACACACTGATGCAGTACTGTAGTATGTAGCTGTATTAGTACACACTGATGCAGTACTGTAGTATGTAGCTGTATGAGTACACACTGATGCAGTACTGTAGTATGTAGCTGTATTAGTACACACTGATGCAGTACTGTAGTATGTAGCTGTATTAGTACACACTGATGCAGTACTGTAGTATGTAGCTTAATGAGTACACACTGATGCAGTACTGTAGTATGTAGCTGTATTAGTACACACTGATGCAGTACTGTAGTATGTAGCTGTATGAGTACACACTGATGCAGTACTGTAGTATGTAGCTGTATTAGTACACACTGATGCAGTACTGTAGTATGTAGCTGTATTAGTACACACTGATGCAGTACTGTAGTATGTAGCTGTATTAGTACACACTGATGCAGTACTGTAGTATGTAGCTGTATGAGTACACACTGATGCAGTACTGTAGTATGTAGCTGTATGAGTACACACTGATGCAGTACTGTAGTATGTAGCTGTATTAGTACACACTGATGCAGTACTGTAGTATGTAGCTGTATGAGTACACACTGATGCAGTACTGTAGTATGTAGCTGTATTAGTACACACTGATGCAGTACTGTAGTATGTAGCTGTATGAGTACACACTGATGCAGTACTGTAGTATGTAGCTGTATGAGTACACACTGATGCAGTACTGTAGTATGTAGCTGTATGAGTACACACTGATGCAGTACTGTAGTATGTAGCTGTATTAGTACACACTGATGCAGTACTGTAGTATGTAGCTGTATGAGTACACACTGATGCAGTACTGTAGTATGTAGCTGTATTAGTACACACTGATGCAGTACTGTAGTATGTAGCTGTATGAGTACACACTGATGCAGTACTGTAGTATGTAGCTGTATTAGTACACACTGATGCAGTACTGTAGTATGTATCTGTATGAGTACACACTGATGCAGTACTGTAGTATGTAGCTGTATTAGTACACACTGATGCAGTACTGTAGTATGTAGCTGTATTAGTACACACTGATGCAGTACTGTAGTATGTAGCTGTATGAGTACACACTGATGCAGTACTGTAGTATGTAGCTGTATGATTACACACTGATGCAGTACTGTAGTATGTAGCTGTATTAGTACACACTGATGCAGTACTGTAGTATGTAGCTGTATTAGTACACACTGATGCAGTACTGTAGTATGTAGCTGTATTAGTACACACTGATGCAGTACTGTAGTATGTACGTTACTGAGTACACACTGATGCAGTACTGTAGTATGTAGCTGTATTAGTACACACTGATGCAGTACTGTAGTATGTAGCTGTATTAGTACACACTGATGCAGTACTGTAGTATGTAGCTGTATTAGTACACACTGATGCAGTACTGTAGTATGTAGCTGTATTAGTACACACTGATGCAGTACTGTAGTATGTACGTTCATGAGTACACACTGATGCAGTACTGTAGTATGTACGTTCATGAGTACACACTGATGCAGTACTGTAGTATGTAGCTGTATGAGTACACACTGATGCAGTACTGTAGTATGTAGCTTAATTAGTACACACTGATGCAGTACTTTAGTATGTAGCTGTATTAGTACACACTGATGCAGTACTGTAGTATGTAGCTTAATGAGTACACACTGATGCAGTACTGTAGTATGTAGCTGTATTAGTACACACTGATGCAGTACTGTAGTATGTAGCTTAATGAGTACACACTGATGCAGTACTGTAGTATGTAGCTTAATGAGTACACACTGATGCAGTACTTTAGTATGTAGCTGTATTAGTACACACTGATGCAGTACTGTAGTATGTAGCTTAATGAGTACACACTGATGCAGTACTGTAGTATGTAGCTTAATGAGTACACACTGATGCAGTACTGTAGTATGTAGCTGTATTTGTACACACTGATGCAGTACTGTAGTATGTAGCTGTATTAGTACACACTGATGCAGTACTGTAGTATGTACGTTCATGAGTACACACTGATGCAGTACTGTAGTATGTACGTTCATGAGTACACACTGATGCAGTACTGTAGTATGTAGGTTACTGAGTACACACTGATGCAGTACTGTAGTATGTAGCTGTATTAGTACACACTGATGCAGTACTGTAGTATGTAGCTGTATTAGTACACACTGATGCAGTACTGTAGTATGTAGCTGTATTAGTACACACTGATGCAGTACTGTAGTATGTAGCTGTATTAGTACACACTGATGCAGTACTGTAGTATGTAGCTGTATTAGTACACACTGATGCAGTACTGTAGTATGTAGCTGTATGAGTACACACTGATGCAGTACTGTAGTATGTAGCTGTATTAGTACACACTGATGCAGTACTGTAGTATGTAGCTGTATGAGTACACACTGATGCAGTACTGTAGTATGTAGCTGTATTAGTACACACTGATGCAGTACTGTAGTATGTAGCTGTATGAGTACACACTGATGCAGTACTGTAGTATGTAGCTGTATTAGTACACACTGATGCAGTACTGTAGTATGTACGTTACTGAGTACACACTGATGCAGTACTGTAGTATGTAGCTGTATGAGTACACACTGATGCAGTACTGTAGTATGTAGCTGTATTAGTACACACTGATGCAGTACTGTAGTATGTAGCTGTATTAGTACACACTGATGCAGTACTGTAGTATGTAGCTGTATGAGTACACACTGATGCAGTACTGTAGTATGTAGCTGTATGAGTACACACTGATGCAGTACTGTAGTATGTAGCTTAATGAGTACACACTGATGCAGTACTGTAGTATGTAGCTGTATGAGTACACACTGATGCAGTACTGTAGTATGTAGCTGTATTAGTACACACTGATGCAGTACTGTAGTATGTAGCTGTATGAGTACACACTGATGCAGTACTGTAGTATGTAGCTGTATTAGTACACACTGATGCAGTACTGTAGTATGTAGCTGTATGAGTACACACTGATGCAGTACTGTAGTATGTAGCTGTATGAGTACACACTGATGCAGTACTGTAGTATGTAGCTGTATGAGTACACACTGATGCAGTACTGTAGTATGTAGCTGTATTAGTACACACTGATGCAGTACTGTAGTATGTAGCTGTATGAGTACACACTGATGCAGTACTGTAGTATGTAGCTGTATTAGTACACACTGATGCAGTACTGTAGTATGTAGCTGTATGAGTACACACTGATGCAGTACTGTAGTATGTAGCTGTATTAGTACACACTGATGCAGTACTGTAGTATGTATCTGTATGAGTACACACTGATGCAGTACTGTAGTATGTAGCTGTATTAGTACACACTGATGCAGTACTGTAGTATGTAGCTGTATTAGTACACACTGATGCAGTACTGTAGTATGTAGCTGTATGAGTACACACTGATGCAGTACTGTAGTATGTAGCTGTATGATTACACACTGATGCAGTACTGTAGTATGTAGCTGTATTAGTACACACTGATGCAGTACTGTAGTATGTAGCTGTATTAGTACACACTGATGCAGTACTGTAGTATGTAGCTGTATTAGTACACACTGATGCAGTACTGTAGTATGTACGTTACTGAGTACACACTGATGCAGTACTGTAGTATGTAGCTGTATTAGTACACACTGATGCAGTACTGTAGTATGTAGCTGTATTAGTACACACTGATGCAGTACTGTAGTATGTAGCTGTATTAGTACACACTGATGCAGTACTGTAGTATGTAGCTGTATTAGTACACACTGATGCAGTACTGTAGTATGTACGTTCATGAGTACACACTGATGCAGTACTGTAGTATGTACGTTCATGAGTACACACTGATGCAGTACTGTAGTATGTAGCTGTATGAGTACACACTGATGCAGTACTGTAGTATGTAGCTTAATTAGTACACACTGATGCAGTACTTTAGTATGTAGCTGTATTAGTACACACTGATGCAGTACTGTAGTATGTAGCTTAATGAGTACACACTGATGCAGTACTGTAGTATGTAGCTGTATTAGTACACACTGATGCAGTACTGTAGTATGTAGCTTAATGAGTACACACTGATGCAGTACTGTAGTATGTAGCTTAATGAGTACACACTGATGCAGTACTTTAGTATGTAGCTGTATTAGTACACACTGATGCAGTACTGTAGTATGTAGCTTAATGAGTACACACTGATGCAGTACTGTAGTATGTAGCTTAATGAGTACACACTGATGCAGTACTGTAGTATGTAGCTGTATTTGTACACACTGATGCAGTACTGTAGTATGTAGCTGTATTAGTACACACTGATGCAGTACTGTAGTATGTACGTTCATGAGTACACACTGATGCAGTACTGTAGTATGTACGTTCATGAGTACACACTGATGCAGTACTGTAGTATGTAGGTTACTGAGTACACACTGATGCAGTACTGTAGTATGTACGTTCATGAGTACACACTGATGCAGTATGTAGCTTAATGAGTACACACTGATGCAGTACTGTAGTATGTAGCTGTATTAGTACACACTGATGCAGTACTGTAGTATGTAGCTGTATTAGTACACACTGATGTAGTATGTAGCTGTATTAGTACACACTGATGCAGTACTGTAGTATGTAGGTTACTGAGTACACACTGATGCAGTACTGTAGTATGTAGGTTACTGAGTACACACTGATGCAGTATGTAGGTGTATTAGTACACACTAATGGTGTATTCTCCTGCAGGAGGAAGAGGAGGGGCCGTCCACCTCCAGCTGCTCCAGCTGTGTGAAACTGAGGAAGAGGATCGTGGAGCTGGAGGAAGAGCTGTCCCAACTCAGAGGAGGGCGGGGGGGCGTTCCAACATCCTCCACTCAGGAGCCCCCCCACCCCGAGCAGGGCCCCGTAGAGGACTCTACAGGTGGGATATATTATTATAGGGGAGGGTATTTTATTCTGAAGTCAGTTCTCCATGCTTTTATTTTGAAGTCAATACTTATTGGCTTTTATTTTGAAGTCAATACTTATTGGCTTTTATTTTGAAGTCAATACTTATTGGCTTTTATTTTGAAGTCAATACTTATTGACTTTTATTTTGAAGTCAATACTTATTGGCTTTTATTTTGAAGTCAATACTTATTGGCTTTTATTTTGATGTCAATACTTATTGGCTTTTATTTTGAAGTGATTTCTTGGTCACACTTTTATTCACGGTCAGTTGTTCAGTGCTTTTATTTTGAAATCTCTACATGGCCAAATATCCCTCTTAGTGTTCCATGAATGAAAAGCTGGCATCAAAACCTGTTTGTGTTTCCCTGCAGGGATGGAGCGCTCAACGCCCCCTCAGGTGCTGGATGAAGACGACCCAGACGTGGACTCGGCTGACGACTCGGTCGCGGTGGATCTTGTGATTTCCCCCGAGGATTCGCTGAAGCTTTCCTCGGGGGGAAGCCGTCGGATCCGCCGCTTCAAACAGGAGTGGCTGAAGAAGTTCTGGTTCCTCCGCTACTCGCCGACCCTCAACGAGATGTGGTGCCACGTCTGCCGGCAGTACACCGTGCCGTCGTCCCGGACCTCCGCCTTCATCGTGGGCTCCAAGCAGTTCAAGATCCACACCATCAAGCTGCACAGCCAGAGCAACCTGCATAAGAAGTGCCTGCAGCTGTACAAGCTGCGCATGCACCCCGAGAAGACGGAGGAGATGTGCCGGAACATGACGCTGCTCTTCAATGCCGCTTATCACCTGGCCGTGGAGGGCCGGCCCTTCTCAGACCTACGGCCGCTGGCAGAGCTGCTGAAGAGGTGCGAGCTCAAGGTGGTGGATCAGTACCTGAACGACGGAGACTGTCAGATCCTCCTGCACCACATTGCCCGCGCGCTGAAGGAAGACCTGGCCGAGAAGATGCGCCTGTCTCCTTTCTTGAGCGTCATCATGGACGCCCAGAACGACGACCTGTTCTCGGACATGGTGGCCGTCTACGTGCAGTTCATCTCCTACGAGGGCTCCCCGAACACGGAGTTCCTGTCCTTGCAGAGACTTGGAATGCCCAGTGTGGACGGGTACCTGCAGGCGCTGGACCGAGCCTTTGGCGTGCTCGGCCTCAGGTTCCAGGACCTGCTGGTGGTCGGCCTCGGGGTGGACGGCACCAACATCTCGGCAGGAACGAGAGCCAGCCTCTATGTGGCGGTGCAGAAGACCTTCCCCTGGATCCTGTGCCTTCCCATCATGATCCACCGGCCCCACCTGGAGGTTCTGGACGCTATCAGTGGGAAGGAGCTCTCCTGCCTGGAGGACCTGGAAACCAACCTGAAGCAGCTCCTCAGCTTCTACCGATACTCCCCCCGCATGATGGCTGAGCTGCGGTCCACCGCTCCAACTCTGTCGGAGGAGACGGAGTTCCTGGGAGACATCAGAGCCATTCGGTGGATCATCGGAGAACCCAACGTCCTGAACGCGCTCATCAAAGACTACCTGGAGGTGGTTGCGCACCTGAAGGAGATCAGCAGCCAGACGCAGAGGGCCGACGCCGCCGCCATCGCCCTCAGCCTGCTCCAGTTCCTCCTGGACTACCAGTCAGTGAAGCTCATCTACTTCCTCCTGGACATCATCGCCGTCCTCTCGCGGTTGGCCTTCACCTTCCAGGGGGAAAACCACTTCCTGGTGTCGCAGGTGGAGGCCAAGATCGAGGACGCCATCCTGGAGATCGGCCAGCTGGTGGACTTCCCCGGAGAGTACCTGCAGGAGTTTGAAGAGAACTTCCGGGAGAGTTTCAACGGTGTCGCTCTGAAGAACCTGCGCGTCGCCGAGTCCAAGTTCCAGTCGATCCGGGAGAAGATCTGCAACCGGAGCCAGGGCATCCTGTCCCAGAGGCTGGACCTGCACAGCCGCCCCTTTGCAAAGGCCTGCAGGGTTCTGGATCTGAACACCTGGCCGCACAGCCGCGAGGACCTGCAGGCGTACGGGGAGGAGGAGATCCAGGTGATACTAGAACACATGGAGTCCCTCCCCTGCAGAGGTGTGGAGGCACGGGGCAACCTGTTGGGCGAGTGGAAGGACCTGAAAGCAGACTACTTCAGCATGAACGGCTTCAAGGAGGTTCTGGTTCACGTCTGCAGGTACAGGCAACGCTTCCCTCTCCTGAACCGGGTCCTGCAGGCGGTCCGGGTGCTGCCCGGCTCCACTTCCTGCTGCGATAAAGGCCGGGCGTCTCTGCAGAAAATGTGCAAGAACAACCGGTCGCGGCTGAGTCTGGAGCAGATGAACGACCTGCTGACGGTGGCCGTTAACGGGCCGCCCATCGCACACTTCGACGGGAAGCGAGCGCTGGACAGCTGGTTCGAGGAGAAGTCCGGCAGCAGCCGCTCTCTGTCGGCCGAGGTGTTGAGCAGGAGGTCCGCCGCGGAGCAGAAGAGCGTCCTGCACAGCGTGGACGTCAACACGGAGTTTTACCCCGACGTCTAACGGTCCGTCTGCAGATCAGAGAGGCCGGTTGTTAACCCGGAGTTCAGACCCCAAAGATGTATGATAGGAATGTACAGTAGGGTCTCCAGCTCATAGAAGCTGCTGGATGCTAAGTTAGCACAGTTAGCATAAGTCGCATTACTTGGCGCAGGGGGGTCCAACCTACCTTGGGCCATTTTGAAACGGCCCTCGGGTAATTCAAATAGTATAATGAAGTATGGCCCACAAATTAAACTTGTGCTTGTCATATATTGTACTAATTAAATAAATATGTAGAAATATATATCATAGTATTCATGTGTGCCCACTTTTAAAATGCAATCAATTCAAGTTGGAAACATTATGGAGCCCAATACCTTAATGACATACCCAGCTTGAAGCCTTTCTACTTCCTGTTTCTATCAGCGATCTGAAGCTTCTGCTTTAAGGAATGAACCCCTCTGGAGAGCTGCGATGCTTCTTAGCATGTTCAAGGATCAAGCTTCATTTACCTGCATTTGATTGATTTACTAACTGATGAGAAGGCAGTAAACCTCTAGTGATTTTCCTGTGTGTGGCCCTCGGAGGAAACAGTTTGGCCCCCCTGCCTCAGCGTGTGCAGACGTTAGCTGCCTATTGGCTGGTTTGGACGGTTTTGAAGAGGTTTTGGAGGAATCCCATTGGCCCAGGGAGATGCTGCCTTCAGGGGTCCAACACAGAAACACAGCCTCTCTGCTCCACACTAACACTGTGTGTGTCTCAGCTGCACACTGAGCAGAGACCTCACACACACCATAATAAAGCACTTGTTATCAATGCAATCAATCAGCACTTGTTGGCAGAATGAGAGACGGTTCTCCGTGGGGAACCGTCAGCGCGTGGGGGCGTGGGGAACCGTCAGCGCGTGGGGGCGTGGGGGCGTTCACAGATGTGTGTGAAAGGCTTTTTATACTTCTATTCAAAGCAGACTCTGTATGAACTGTAAATGTGTTTGTAAGGAGAGTATTGTGTGTGTGTGTGTGTGTGTGTGTGTGTGTGTGTGTGTGTGTGTGTGTGTGTGTGTGTGTGTGTGTGTGTGTGTGTGTGTGTGGTGTGTGTGTGTGTGTGTGTGTGTGTGTGTGTGTGTGGTGTGTGTGTGTGTGTGGGTGTGTGTGTGTGTGTGTGTGTAGTGTGTGTGTGTGTGTGTGTGTGTGTGTGTGTGTGTGTGTGTGTGTGTGTGTGTGTGTGTGTGTGTGTGTGTGTGTGTGTGTGTGTGTGTGTGTGTGTGTGTGTGTGTGTGTGGCCGGCCAAAGCAGCTGATTCTTTATTGAGAGGCACCAATAAAGAGACATGAGACACACCTGGGTCTAGAGCTGCTGGTTCTTTGATTTCTTCTTCAGAGTCTCACCAGGACTTCAATGCTGAAGCAGCCATGCTAGCAGTTCCCCCTGCTTCCAGTCATTATGCTAAGCTAAGCTAATTGCCTCTGAGCTCTAGAGTAACTGCTCTGCCACGGTCTCTTTACTTCACTGAACATTCATTGGTTTCTATTCACATAGTGTGTGTGTGTGTGCTGCAGATGTGTGTGTGTGCGTGCTGCAGATGTGTGTGTGTGCGTGCTGCAGATGTGTGTGTGTGTGTGCTGCAGGTGTGTGTGTACGTGCTGCAGATGTGTGTGTGTGCTGCAGGTGTGTGTGTGTGCTGCAGATGTGCGTGCGTGTGATGAAGAGGAGGAACACACATTGATCCAGCAGTATAGTAGAGATGCAGACCCCGCGCTCTGCCTCCTGTTATCTGCTCACAGATCTATATTATCTGTTTCTATGCTTCCATATAAAGACACTTTCTGAATGACTTCATATTGTCCTCTCTTCTTCATGTCTCTTCTTCATCAACATGTGTCCCCTCTTCTTCATGTCTCTTCTTCATCAACATGTGTCCCCTCTTCTTCATGTCTCTTCTTCATCAACATGTGTCCCCTCTTCTTCATGTCTCTTCTACATCAACATGTGTCCCCTCTTCTTCATGTCTCTTCTTCATCAACATGTGTCCCCTCTTCTTCATGTCTCTTCTTCATCAACATGTGTCCCCTCTTCTTCATGTCTCTTCATCAACATGTGTCCCCTCTTCTTCATGTCTCTTCTTCATCAACATGTGTCCCCTCTTCTTCATGTCTCTTCTTCATCAACATGTGTCCCCTCTTCTTCATGTCTCTTCATCAACATGTGTCCCCTCTTCTTCATGTCTCTTCTACATCAACATGTGTCCCCTCTTCTTCATGTCTCTTCTTCATCAACATGTGTCCCCTCTTCTTCATGTCTCTTCTTCATCAACATGTGTCCCCTCTTCTTCATGTCTCTTCTTCATCAACATGTGTCCCCTCTTCTTCATGTCTCTTCTTCATCAACATGTGTCCCCTCTTCTTCATGTCTCTTCTTCATCAACATGTGTCCCCTCTTCTTCATGTCTCTTCTTCATCACCATGTGTCCCCTCTTCTTCATGTCTCTTCATCATCAACATGTGTCCCCTCTTCTTCATGTCTCTTCTTCATCACCATGTGTCCCCTCTTCTTCATGTCTCTTCTTCATCACCATGTGTCCCCTCTTCTTCATGTCTCTTCTTCATCAACATGTGTCCCCTCTTCTTCATGTCTCTTCTTCATCAACATGTGTCCCCTCTTCTTCATGTCTCTTCTTCATCAACATGTGTCCCCTCTTCTTCATGTCTCTTCTTCATCAACATGTGTCCCCTCTTCTTCATGTCTCTTCTACATCAACATGTGTCCCCTCTTCTTCATGTCTCTTCTTCATCAACATGTGTCCCCTCTTCTTCATGTCTCTTCTACATCAACATGTGTCCCCTCTTCTTCATCAACATGTGTCCCCTCTGTGGAAAGAGACTCTGAAAGTTTCAGGAACAAAGATTCTCTCTCTTTTTGATCCATTTCTATAAAAACCTGTCTGAAAATGAGCTGATCAGATTTTGGCCACTTGATGTCATAACGATGTTTTGTCTTGTGTAACCATTAGCCAATCAGCAACCAAGGTAACCCCCCCCCCACCTTATCACCTGAATCTCCTCCTCGAGCACCATTGAGTTCTTTGTAACCAGATATCCGTCCGTGGGGCGTGGGGAGGGGCTCCTTATTTTCTAGTGAATTCTCTTAGTGAATAAAACAGACATTATGATAGTCAGTGGTAAAGACAAAGACAGACCTCTCTCTCATAATATAAGTTTCTCTCCTTCTACAGCAGGGGTGTCAAACTCAAGGCCCGGGGGCCAAATCCGGCCCGCCACTTCATTTTATGTGGCCCACAAGAGCTTGCAAAGAATATAATAAGTTTATTATAATGTTACATGCCGCTTTACAGGAGAACGTTGCCCATAAACTACATGTCCCACAATGCATCTCATTGTGTGACATGCACAATGAAGAGACTTGCAATTATTTTCCCTAGACTTCTGCTTTCAGACGTAGTTAATTATGAAGTTATTACCCTATCCGATAATAATCCAATGCAGAGGAAATATTGTAAAATAATACATTATTTTATATTTATTATGTATATTTATCTATGTATATTTATATAGTCTTAAAGTTACCACCGGCCCTTTGAGTGCAACCATAATTCTAATGTGGCCCGCGATGAAATTGAGTTTGACACCCCTGTTCTTCAGGTTCCCTGTGAGTGGAAAACTATTTCAACACTTCAAACTCCGCCCCCCCCCCCCCCCCCCCCCCCCCCTTTCCTCTGCAACTCAGAGCGGAAGTAAAGTAAAGTCACCTTTCACGGAAGTCACATCTGAAACAGTTGGTGTTCAAACTGCTGAATAAAAGGAGATATAAGGGAATAGCAGGCAGAACCAGGACTGAGGAGGACGAGATCAGCAGGGTTTCTGTGGACCTGAAGAGAGTTCAGCAGGTGAGGACCCTCCCCCAGGAGTCTGTTCCTTCATCAGGATCACTGTGATCACATATATATATGATCTATAGATATATATATATATATATATATATATATATATATATATATATATGATAAAGTATTGTGTATGGTTTCTCTCTGAGTGAAAGCAGAATGGTTTTGGAAAGATGTCCATGTATATCTATATCTATATCTAAGGTCAGAACCATAGACTGTATATCTAAGGTCAGAACCATAGACTGTATATCTAAGGTCAGAACCATAGACTGTATATCTAAGGTCAGAACCATAGACTGTATATCTAAGGTCAGAACCATAGACTGTATATCTAAGGTCAGAACCATAGACTGTATATCTAAGGTCAGAACCATAGACTATATATCTAAAGGTCAGAAGAACCGCTCTACAACTACGGAGCCTCTAAAGGGACATGAACAAAATAAAATAAAAAAAAGAGTCAGAATAACAGATTCGTTTCTCGCACGAGAAACTAATCTGTTATTCTGACTCTATTTATTATTATTATTTTTATTTATTTATTTTGTTCATGTCCCTTTAGAGGCTCCCTAACAACTCGTGACTCAGAGGTTTTTATGTTTAACTCTCAATACTCTGAAGTGCATGGATGCAGTGTGAAGGGCTCAGAGACGGCCATCCTCCATTACTGACACTCACCTGGTTTCACTGAGGAGCCTTTAGCCCAGTTCAGCTCTCAGCCTTTAGCCCAGTTCAGCTCTCAGCTGTCCCACATGCGGCAAACCCCTTTCTTCATGGCCCACAGCCCCCCCGATGGAAGTCAACGTAGTGGTTGGTTAGTGGCCGTCAGCCAACAGGGCCCCCAGAGGAAGACATCAGACCTCCTGGGTCTCTCTCTTCAACCTCAGTCATCTTTTCAATATTTAAAGATGTATATGAGAATTTCAAAGATTTAGAAACAGATGTAAAAAGAGTTGAATATTAAAAACATAAGAGGTCATTAACACGTATCACAAGAACGTTTCTGATCACTGCAAGAAATAACATGTTTGATTTGGACACGAGCTCCGTCAGTGCTAGCTGGGTCCAAGCACTGCTGGCAATGTCTGCTTTCCTGGTAAGATGATTCTCTTCCTGGAGGTAACCCCGTTTCTCAGAGAGGCGTACAAACAGCTTCAGCAGCAGCTGCAGACGGCCTGTGGAGGTTTCCATGGAGACGTCACAGAAAACTAATAAATAAACAAATACATAAACAAATAAATGAATAAATAAATAAATAAATGAGTAAAAAGGTAAATAGATGAAGACTGAATAAAAAGCTTCCTGTTTAATAAATAATAACATCATATAGAGAACAGAAGCTCTGGTGGAATAACATGTTTTATTTGTAAAGGATTATAAAGCAAGTGTCTCAGAGTCAGTCGTCTCATAACTTTAGTGTTTGTCAGTATATCTGAAATGACTAGGTTAGCTACGTTAGCTAGCTAGCTTACAGTATATCTGAAATGACTAGGTTAGCTACGTTAGCTAGCTAGCTTACAGCAGATCTGAAATGACTAGGTTAGCTACGTTAGCTAGCTAGCTTACAGCAGATCTGAAATGACTAGGTTAGCTACGTTAGCTAGCTATCTTACAGCAGATCTGAAATGACTAGGTTAGCTACGTTAGCTAGCTAGCTTACAGTATATCTGAAATGACTAGGTTAGCTACGTTAGCTAGCTAGCTTACAGCAGATCTGAAATGACTAGGTTAGCTACGTTAGCTAGCTAGCTTACAGTGTAGAGTGGCGAAGTCACGCCCATCTTCTTCCGCCCCATGGGACCTTATTTCGGAAAAATAATGCATTGAAGTCAATGGAGAGAGAAAACTTATCTTTCGATCCCGTTTGAATTGTGCCATGAATTACACATATGATGTTTGTCAATCTTAAAAAATCATTTCCATGTCAAAAAAGTCACAGTTTGTCGTAAAACTGTTGAAATATAAGACTATGAAAAATACGTAACTAGAAAGACTACAAATCCCAGAGTCGCGTAAGTGATGTCACAATTGTTTTCCTCCACTAAGAGATAGCTAAGATCAGCGCAATATAGATATAATCTATCTATATGGCGCTGGCTAAGATCAGATAACTTTCACAAGATGCCTGTGTGCTTAGTACCAGGTTGTTATCATACCAGCAATGGGTCTTGCTCGTTCTTTTGCTTCCCGTCTGATGAAAGGACCAGGAGTACTCTGGATCATGCTAGCTAGTAGCTAGCACGTTAGTTAGCATTACAGCCTTGTCATTTTTATTAGCCTTAACATGAAGTAACATTAAGTAACCCAAAATGTTAAACAGTAAGAGTAGTAGTCATATTTCGTGAACCCTTTGAAGAGTACTGTCACCGGTGTGGTCATTCTATAATACACCATTTAAGCCCGGGAGAGAAATGCTAACGCTAACGCTAGCGATCTTCTCTACTTCATGCTATCTGCACAAATGGTTGACATTAAACATTAAAACGACCAGGCAGTTCAGAGAGAATCAAAGGAAGGCAGGCAGGCAGCTTTGCATGACTTTCTTCAGGACGTGTTTCATTGTGGTGATAGTGAGGGTAGTCAATCGTTTTGTTGACAAGACAGTAGTGACGGCCATCTTGGTGACGTGTGTTGTTGACCAGAGATGTAGTTCATTGAGCGTTTCACACAAACAAATGTGTTACTTCACAGTTTTACCACACATTTTATTTTTTTTGACTTGCAAAATTATCTTTTAAATTGACAAACATATGTGTCCACCGGAAGGGGAGGGACTTCGCCACTCTATATCTGAAATGACTAGGTTAGCTACATTAGCTAGCTAGCTTACAGCAGATCTGAAATGACTAGGTTAGCTACGTTGGCTAGCTAGCTTACAGCAGATCTGCAGTGACAGACAGAGAATCACCACTTTGGAAACAGAGGGGATTATGGGATGCTGCAATGATCTGTTTGGTGTTTCAGCCAATCAGAGACAGGCTCTGTATATATCTGAGACCTATGATATACTGATGAGAAACAGTATCATAGGGGACCTTTAAGAGTTCATCCCCCCTCTCAGATGATCACAGCAGGGGGTCGGAGGTCGTCCATCAGAAATAACCTTGTCTCTTTTCTTCTGTTGGGAGGAAGTGGGAGAGTCTGGGCAAACAGGAAGAGATCTGACATCCCATAATTGTGTGTGTGTGTGTGTGTGTGTGTGTGTGTGTGTGTGTGTGTGTGTGTGTGTGTGTGTGTGTGGTGTGTGTGTGTGTGTGTGTGTGTGTGTGTGTGTGTGTGTGTGTGTGTGTGTGTGTGTGTGTGTGTGTGTGTGTGTGTGTGTGTGTGTGTGTGTGTGTGTGTGTGTGTGTGTGTGTGTGTGTGTGTGGCAGCAGAGACTCTGTTTGTTTGTGGACTCAAACACAACACAGTGATTGTTGAAGAAGAGGAGGAGGAGGACAAGATGCCTTTGTGGTCCGCGGGACAAAGAGGCGCTCTCAGTTTACAGTTCACTGCAGACGCCTCGACAGCAGACCTCCACCAGCTCCTCATTCACAACAGATTTACTCCTAATTTTACTCCTGGTCCTCCTGGTTCTCCTGTTCTCCTGTTCTCCTGGTTTTCCTGTTCTCCTGGTCCTCCTGGTCCTCCTGGTTCTCCTGGTTCTCCTGTTCTCCTGGTCCTCCTGGTTCTCCTGTTCTCCTGGTTCTCCTGTTCTCCTGGTCCTCCTGGTTCTCCTGCAGAATCATGCAGCACCTCCTGTGGCTCCTGCTGTGCTGCGGGACGCTCCCTCTGGGTGAGTCTCTCTCTCCTTTAGAGATTTAAAGAGCTCAGAATAGCTCAGAGGTCCTGAGGGTCTGTCTGAGGGTCTGAGGGTCTGTCTGAGGGTCTGTCTGAGGGTCTGAGGGTCTGTCTGAGGGACTGAGGGTCTGAGGGTCTGTCTGAGGGTCTGAGGGTCTGTCTGAGGGTCTGTCTGAGGGTCTGTCTAAGGGTCTGAGGGTCTGTCTGAGGATTTGTCTGAGGGTCTGAGGATCTGTCTGAGGGTCTGTCTGAGGGTCTGAGGGTCTGTCTGAGGGTCTGAGGGTCTGTCTGAGGGTCTGAGGGTCTGTCTGAGTCTGAGGGTCTGTCTGAGGGTCTGTCTGAGGGTCTGTCTGAGTCTGAGGGTCTGTCTGAGGGTCTGAGGGTCTGTCTGAGGGTCTGTCTGAGGGTCTGTCTGAGTCTGAGGGTCTGTCTGAGGGTCTGTCTGAGGGTCTGAGGGTCTGTCTGAGGGTCTGTCTGAGGGTCTGTCTGAGTCTGAGGGTCTGTCTGAGGGTCTGAGGGTCTGTCTGAGGGTCTGTCTGAGGGTCTGTCTGAGGGTCTGTCTGAGTCTGAGGGTCTGTCTGAGGGTCTGTCTGAGGGTCTGTCTGAGGGTCTGTCTGAGTCTGAGGGTTCTGTCTGAGGGTCTGTCTGAGGGTCTGTCTGAGGGTCTGTCTGAGGGTCTGAGGGTCTGTCTGAGGGTCTGTCTGAGTCTGAGGGTCTGTCTGAGGGTCTGTCTGAGGGTCTGCCTGAGGGTCTGTCTGAGGGTCTGAGGGTCTGTCTGAGGGTCTGTCTGAGGGTCTCTCTGAGTCTGAGGGTCTGTCTGAGGGTCTGTCTGGGTCTGAGGGTCTGTCTGAGGGTCTGGTCTGAGTCTGAGGGGTCTGTCTGAGGGTCTGAGGGTCTGTCTGAGGGGTCTGTCGAGTCTGAGGGTCTGTCTGAGGGTCTGTCCTGGGTCTGAGGGTCTTGTAGGTATGAGGGTCTGGGTCTGAGGGTCTGTCTGAGGGTCTGTCTGAGGGTCTGTCTGAGGGTCTGAGGGTCTGTCTGAGGGTCTGAGGGTCTGAGGGTCTGTCTGAGGGTCTGAGGGTCTGTCTGAGGGTCTGTCTGAGGGTCTGAGGGTCTGTCTGAGGGTCTGAGGGTCTGTCTGAGGGTCTGTCTGAGGGTCTGAGGGTCTGTCTCTTCATAATGAAATCATCAAAAACAGAAGAATAATCTGAAGAAATGAAAGAAATGGATCAAATGTTTATTTTTGTTAAAATAAATGTATTTAAAAAATAAACATAAACATAAACAGATCCATTTAAAACGAGTTCATAATAATAATAATAATAATAATAATAATAATAATAATAATAATAATTATTATTATTATTATAATAATTATAATTATAATAATAATAATAATAATTATTATAATTATAATAATAATAATTAAATAATTATAATTATAATAATAATAATTATAATTATATAATATATAATAATTATTATTATAATAATTATAATAATATAATAATTATAATTATTATAATAATAATAATAATAATAATAATAATATGATCTCCTCAGGTTCCGCTCTGCGCTGCTACAAGTGCTCCGACTACACCGGGCTCTGCCAGAACGTGCAGGAGTGCACCTTCGAGGACTCCTGCATCTCCCTCAGTGAGAGAGGTGAGTACTACTATCTGTACTCTGTGTACTAACATGTACATGTACCTTCGAGGACTCCTGCATCTCCCTCAGTGAGAGAGGTGAGTACTACTATCTGTACTCTGTGTACTAACATGTACATGTACCTTCGAGGACTCCTGCATCTCCCTCAGTGAGAGAGGTGAGTACTACTATCTGTACTCTGTGTACTAACATGTACATGTACCTTAGAGGACTCCTGCATCTCCCTCAGTGAGAGAGGTGAGTACTGCAGTACTATCTGTACTCTGTGTACTAACATGTACATGTACCTTCGAGGACTCCTGCATCTCCCTCAGTGAGAGAGGTGAGTACTACAGTACTATCTGTACTCTGTGTACTAACATGTACATGTACCTTCGAGGACTCCTGCATCTCCCTCAGTGAGAGAGGTGAGTACTATTATCTGTACTCTGTGTACTAACATGTATATGTACCTTCGAGGACTCCTGCATCTCCCTCAGTGAGAGAGGTGAGAAGTACTACTATCTGTACTCTGTGTACTAACATGTACATGTACCTTCGAGGACTCCTGCATCTCCCTCAGTGAGAGAGGTGAGAAGTACTACTATCTGTACTCTGTGTACTAACATGTACTTGTACCTTCGAGGACTCCTGCATCTCCCTCAGTGAGAGAGGTGAGTACTACTATCTGTACTCTGTGTACTAACATGTACATGTACCTTCGAGGACTCCTGCATCTCCCTCAGTGAGAGAGGTGAGTACTACTATCTGTACTCTGTGTACTAACATGTACATGTACCTTCGAGGACTCCTGCATCTCCCTCAGTGAGAGAGGTGAGTACTACTATCTGTACTCTGTGTACTAACATGTACATGTACCTTCGAGGACTCCTGCATCTCCCTCAGTGAGAGAGGTGAGAAGTACTACTATACTACTTAGTACATGATGGATTTGATTAGGAGAATGAAGCCATCTTCCTGCCCCCTGGATGTAATACCAACTTTCCTATTTTTAAAAGTGTGACCAACCATTGGCTGTATCAGCTATTATTAATACGTCCTTGTCTACAGGATGTGTCTCTTCCTATTTTAAGCATGCCACTATTCAGCCCATATTAAAGAAAACTAACTTAGATCCGGCTCTGCCCGTGAACTACAGGCCTATATCCAAACTACCCTTTCTGTCAAAAGTTCTAGAAGTTTCTGGCCAACCAACTCACAATATTTATGATAAGTTCCAGTCGGGGTTTCAGAAAAAGCACTCCACTGAAACGGCTCTCCTGAGGGTTTCTAACGACATCCTGATGGCTTCTGATGTGGGTGATCGCTCTGTGTTAGTACTTCTTGACCTAAGTTCTGCGTTAGACACTGTAGACCACCATATCCTGATCAAGAGGTTACGTGACTGGGTGGGCATATCTGGCATAGCATTAGACTGGTTTGCATCATATCTTGCTGACAGAAGTTTCACCGTCTCGATTGGAGACTTTGTGTCAGACTCCTCTTCACTGTCCTGTGGTGTCCCGCAGGGCTCTGTCTTGGGGCCTCTGTTATTCTCCCTATATTTGCTAACCTTAGGACAGATCATAAACAGAATTAACATTACATATCACTTATACGCGGACGATATCCAGCTCCACATTTCATTCAAACCCAGTGAGGCTTTTAGGATATCTCTTAGAATGTCTTAGCGCCATTAAGGACCGGACGGCAGATAACTTCTTACAACTCAATGCTGATAAGACGGAGGTTCTGGTTGTTGCACCAGAAAAGGTTGCGCCCATGATTCTGAAAAGTCTTGGACCATATTCCTCTGCTGCCAACTCCAAACTACGTCATTTAGGGGTAATATTTGACCAATCCGCGTCGTTTGATACCCATGTTAAGCAACTGACGAGATCTTGTTTCTTCCACCTACGAAACATTAGTAAACTGAGATCTGTAGTTTCAACACCCGACCTAGAGATGATTATCCATGCGTTTATCTCATCTCGCATTGACTATTGCAACGCATTGTTCTCCTCTCTCAGCATGTCTGCTCTTGGTCGTCTGCAGGCAGTCCAGAATGCAGCTGCAAGACTTCTCCCCCGGTCAAACAATCGGTGCCACATTACCCCGATACTCAGATCTCTTCACTGGCTCCCTGTAGCCCAGGGCTATTCAATTGGCGGCCCGCGGGCCAAATCCGGCCCCGGGGTGATATTTACTGGCCCTTTGAGTATAATGTTAAAAAGTCATAAATTCTTTTTTTTTAAGATGTTTTTTTTTTTTTTTTTTTTTTTGTGCCATAGTGCCTTTATTCCAGAGAGGGTGTTACATTGAGAGATAGAGGGGTAAACAATGCCTGAAAACTTCGACGGGCTCGGGTTTCGAACCCACCTACTATACTGTAGTGACAACTCCTGTCATTGATTGCATCTCTGCGTGAATGATTAGATCATTTCACCTAAATGAAATCAAATGAAACATGTAGGCCTACTGAGTTCTGAGCCATTTAGATCTATAAAGGCCTTGGGGCTATGTTGTTTGATTGAATTAAACACAATATATGCACTCCACTATGCTGTTGTAGTATTTACTGTATCTGAAGCTCTTAAATATGATTGCTCATATTTCAAGCCATCTTTTTCCCGGCCCCTTGCTTTGGATCATTTTCATCAACCGGCCCCATTCCAAACTAATTGAATAGCCCTGATGTAGATTATATACAGTTCAAAATCTATTTATAAATAAATAAACTTTACTTACTTACATCTTATTACTGTACTAATATGTACATGTACATAGAGTAGTGTAGTACCCATCTCCCTCAGTGAGAGAGTACTGTTTGTAGATGTTATTACAGTACTGTGTGTACATGTACATGTTATGTACATGGTATATACATATCAATGAAGTGTCTCTCTACAGGAGGGAAGACGATCCGTCAGTGACTCCGCTACACAGACTGTGATAACAGTACTGTGTGTACATGTTATTACAGTACTGTGTGTATGTACTGTGTGTGTACATGTACATGTTATTACAGTGCTGTGTGTGTATGTACTGTGTGTACATGTACATGTTATTACAGTGCTGTGTGTGTATGTACTGTGTGTGTACATGTACATGTTATTACAGTACTGTGTGTGTACATGTACATGTTATTACAGTACTGTGTGTGTATGTAGTGTGTGTACATGTACATGTTATTACAGTGCTGTGTGTGTATGTACTGTGTGTGTACATGTACATGTTATTACAGTACTGTGTGTGTACATGTACATGTTATTACAGTACTGTGTGTGTATGTACTGTGTGTGTACATGTACATGTTATTACAGTGCTGTGTGTGTATGTACTGTGTGTACATGTACATGTTATGTATATGGTATATACATATCAATGAAGTGTCTCTCTACAGGAGGGAAGACGATCCGTCAGTGTCTCCGCAACACAGACTGTGATAACAGTACTGTGTGTACATGTTATTACAGTGCTGTGTGTGTATGTACTGTGTGTGTATGTACTGTGTGTACATGTACATGTTATTACAGTGCTGTGTGTGTATGTACTGTGTGTACATGTACATGTTATGTATATATATATTAATGAAGTGTATACTCTACAGGAGGGAAGACGATCCGTCAGTGTCTCCGCTACACAGACTGTGATAACTCCCGCCTCTCCCAGATGTTTCCGGCTCTTTCCGGCTTCACCTATCGGTGCTGCAGCTCCAACCTCTGTAACTCCGCCCCCGACAACGGGGTTCCCACGGCCACGCCCCTGCTCGCTGTCGCCGTGGCAACGTCCCTGCTGAACGCCTGGTGGTGCCGGGTGTGACACAACAACAACAACAATAAACGAGCATTGTATAAAGTTAACGTGAACTAAACTGTGTGTCGTTCAGGTTCTCAACTTAATGCATTTATACTTTTGAACAATAAACACATCAAAAAGGGAATGTTTTGTTGTTTTTTAAAGTGTCTCTACTTTAAAGAGTCCTCTCCTGCTGATGTTCAGGTGTATATCAGTATGTAGTGTCTCTACTTTAAAGAGTCCTCTCCTGCTGAAGTTCAGGTGTATATCAGTATGTAGTGTCTCTACTTTAAAGAGTCCTCTCCTGCTGATGTTCAGGTGTATATCAGTATGTAGTGTCTCTACTTTAAAGAGTCCTCTCCTGCTGATGTTCAGGTGTATATCAGTATGTAGTGTCTCTACTTTAAAGAGTCCTCTCCTGCTGATGTTCAGGTGTATATCAGTATGTAGTGTCTCTACTTTAAAGAGTCCTCTCCTGCTGATGTTCAGGTGTATATCAGTATGTAGTGTCTCTACTTTAAAGAGTCCTCTCCTGCTGATGTTCAGGTGTATATCAGTATGTAGTGTCTCTACTTTAAAAGAGTCCTCTCCTGCTGATGTTCAGGTGTATATCAGTATGTAGTGTCTCTACTTTAAAGAGTCCTCTCCTGCTGATGTTCAGGTGTATATCAGTATGTAGTGTCTCTACTTTAAAGAAGTCCTCTCCTGCTGATGTTCAGGTGTATATCAGTATGTAGTGTCTCTACTTTAAAGAGTCCTCTCCTGCTGATGTTCAGGTGTATATCAGTATGTAGTGTCTCTACTTTAAAGAGTCCTCTCCTGCTGATGTTCAGGTGTATATCAGTATGTAGTGTCTCTACTTTAAAGAGTCCTCTCCTGCTGATGTTCAGGTGTATATCAGTAATGTAGTGTCTCTACTTTAAAGAGTCCTCTCCTGCTGATGTTCAGGTGTATATCAGTATGTAGTGTCTCTACTTTAAAGAGTCCTCTCCTGCTGATGTTCAGGTGTATATCAGTATGTAGTGTCTCTACTTTAAAGAGTCCTCTCCTGCTGATGTTCAGGTGTATATCAGTATGTAGTGTCTCTACTTTAAAGAGTCCTCTCCTGCTGATGTTCAGGTGTATATCAGTATGTAGTGTCTCTACTTTAAAGAGTCCTCTCCTGCTGATGTTCAGGTGTATATCAGTATGTAGTGTCTCTACTTTAAAGAGTCCTCTCCTGCTGATGTTCAGGTGTATATCAGTATGTAGTGTCTCTACTTTAAAGAGTCCTCTCCTGCTGATGTTCAGGTGTATATCAGTATGTAGTGTCTCTACTTTAAAGAGTCCTCTCCTGCTGATGTTCAGGTGTATATCAGTATGTAGTGTCTCTACTTTAAAGAGTCCTCTCCTGCTGATGTTCAGGTGTATATCAGTATGTAGTGTCTCTACTTTAAAGAGTCCTCTCCTGCTGATGTTCAGGTGTATATCAGTATGTAGTGTCTCTACTTTAAAGAGTCCTCTCCTGCTGATGTTCAGGTGTATATCAGTATGTAGTGTCTCTACTTTAAAGAGTCCTCTCCTGCTGATGTTCAGGTGTATATCAGTATGTAGTGTCTCTACTTTAAAGAGTCCTCTCCTGCTGATGTTCAGGTGTATATCAGTATGTAGTGTCTCTACTTTAAAGAGTCAAAATACACAGAGACAAAATAAAAAAAATAGATTTATTAAATATGATAAAGACATTTCATAAATCTATGAGTTCCTCTCCTCTCCTAATCTAAACTAAGAAACAGGTAAACATTACAATCAGGACTGAAATCAACATGTGATTTGTAGAATATGAATACGACTTGAATTCATCATGTGTCATGGGACTGTGACAAAGAGGAGGAACTTTGAGGCCAGAACATATCAATCTGAACATCCTGAGCATCGTCATCATCATTTAGGAGAAGATTTGAGTGCTTTTCTGTTAAAAGTATGATTTAATGTGTTTAATCTCTACAGAGGGTGATCAGGAACACTCTGACATCTCAGGACTCCACTTGTGTCCCGTGAGAAAAGTGCACACGTTTATAAATTATGTCAGATTTCAATCATATTTAGAGTATATACCCTATATATATATACTGTGTTTAGAGTATATATACTGTGTTTAGAGTATATATACTGTGTTTAGAGTATATATACTGTGTGTATATATACTGTGTTTAGAGTATATATACTGTGTTTAGAGTATATATACTGTGTGTATATATACTGTGTTTAGAGTATATATACTGTGTTTAGAGTATATATACTGTGTGTATATATACTGTGTTTAGAGTATATATACTGTGTATTAAAGTATACTCTCAGTCCTCCTCCTCCTCCTGCCTCCCGATGACCTCCAGCTGAACCTTCTTCTTCTTCCCTTTCTGCTCCACCACCTCCTTCTCCGGCTGCTCTGATTGGTCGTACCATGGCCGGGGGGCGGAGCCTGAGTCGCAGGCCCTGCCCCCGCGCCGGAACCCCCCCCTGCCGGCCCTCACCAGGCCCCAGCCCTGCAGGTTGGGCTCCTCGTCCTGCACCCCCCCCCCGGCTCAGGTCCAGCTCCTTGGCGCTCAGCGAGGACATCCGGACCGGCACCGTGTTCCCGAACTTTGAATAGTTGACGCAGTATCGCCCGTCCTCCTCCGTCATCACGGAGACGAAGCGCCGCCCCCACAGGATCTCCTCCGGGGTGTAGGAGGTCCGGGCCTGCATGGTGATGCCCGTCGTCTCCACCACACCTGCAATCAATCAATCAGTCAGTCAATCAATCAGTCAGTCAATCAATCAGTCAATCAATCAATCAGTCAATCAATCAATCAGTCAATCAATCAGTCAGTCAATCAATCAGTCAGTCAATCAATCAGTCAATCAGTCACCTGGGACACCTGCAGGGGGGGCAGGTGAGAGACGGGTGTGTGTGTGTGTGTGTGTGTGTGTGTGTGTGTGTGTGTGTGTGTGTGTGTGTGTGTGTGTGTGTGTGTGTGTGTGTGTGTGTGGTGTGTGTGTGTGTGTGTGTGTGTGTGTGTGTGTGTGTGTGTGTGTGTGTGTGTGTGTGTGTGTGTGTGTGTGTGTGTGTGTGTGTGTGTGTGTGTGCTCACCCTCCAGGATGACGATGATCTCCAGGTCCTCCGTGGGCAGGGTGTGTGCTGACAGCTCGTACAGAGGGCTCCCTCTCTCCATGGTGTGGCTGATGATGAGCGGAGACACGAGGAAGATGCCGTTGCTGCGCAGAGGATTCTCCACCTGGATGTCCAGCTGACACACAGGGACCACCTCGCCCTCTGCCGTCACCGTGCGCCGGATCACCTGCACACACACATACACACACACACACACACACACACACACACACACACACACACACACACACACACACACACACACACAGAGCTACAGCATCTTATTTCAGACAGTTTGAAACGCGAGGGTCGTGATTGGTCCGTGATTGGTCCGTGATCGGTTCGTGATGAAGAGCCGGCCCCCAGTCTGACTTGATACCGCCCCTGTGATAAATAAATGTAATTATTGTGAAGCCAGCTGCAATGGATCATTGATCCACCAGGGGGTGCAGTGAGGTTCCACACTGGAGCTCATGTGAAATCAACTTCGATACAGTAAGCTGGATGTTGTGGTGCCGAGAGACGGGAGTCGGAGGCGGGGTATCAAAAGTACAAGCTAAACTTTTATTTAGCATCTGAACACACATGTAAACAACTTCATGCCCGGGAAGCAAAGACCGGCGGAAACAGCTGGTCTGGTTCACTAAAATGTCCGTGCGGAACAATACCCCAACCCATAGATCCGTGGGTGAATAATGTCAATCACCACAATGTACAGTATGTCTGGTACTAATGTATAGCGGATCTTTGTTAAGATCCATATGTCACGGATAGGATCATAGTCTGTGCTAAATAAGACATGTAATCATTTACAAAACATCACCATGTTGTTATTTAACAAAATAATGTTGTTTAGTCGAAAAAAACGAACCGAGAGGAAATGCAGCCGGCTCTCGATTTTAATCCTAATTTAATCATCATCTTCACCACGATCATTTATGTTTATGTTCGCCGAATTGACATGAAATCACTGACAAATATGAATATTCTGTATTCAACTTCATTGAAACGATCAACAATCTGCTCCTCCGCAGCGCCGCCCACCTCCGTCCGGCTGAAATTATGAATGTACAGTAAGGCATAGTAATCATAGATAACACGGCAGGGTCCGTTACAGTTTGTTTTCATCTGATTTCAAATAAACAAAGTCTTGGCTTTCAGAATATTAAACTTGTTTCGGCAAATTTAGATGATAAATACAACTATGAAGCTTGTAACGGCATAATTACTTAAGCGGAGAACGGAGTAATTTAAACGTTACAGCAGGCATAACAACAGCCGGTGTTTATTTTATTATTATATATAGTCGTTATTCATTTGTTTTAAAGCTCAATAAGGAAGATTTAAACTTTCACACACGTTGACCGGCGAAAAACTCTGCCCGGTTCCCTCGGCCCCCCACCACGTTGAATAAACAGAAGAATTACATGAATTAAGGTGACTGAGGCTTTTTAACATAGACTTTTCAGTGTCCCACATACCCACATACCGTTCACCATCCCCCACCCCCCTACTGTATGTTGATTTTTGACTGTTTGCCTACATGTAAATGGGTGGCATTTAGTACCTACCACCCCCCTCTGAGTGAATACCTGTTGTACCTGTCCGGGGCTAAGCCCATAGGACGATGCTCTGATGTCATCACCCTCGCACATTTGTCATATGTTTACAAAAAAACGATGTTAACACTTTCTCGTTCTTAATATATGCTATATTTAGGGTCGATATGTGTTGAATTTACTTTAAAATAGCAGATCACTGTGACCGGATATAGTTTTTTCGGCTTAGTGAACGTGTGTCTCTTCCTCCGCGGCTCCTCCGTGCAGAGAGTTTGCAGCGGTGTGTGTCAGCAACGTGCAGTCAGGGGAGGCACGGATTGGCCGTCGGGAGGGTCGGGACTTATCCCTGGCCCGCTGTGAGTTCTGGAGAATCACAGAACGGCCGGACGCCAACAGCCCGGTTCGCTTATGGCCGACAACACCCGCCCCCCGTTGACAATTCACGAGCGTCTAACTCTCTCCCCCCTCCCCCGTCGCACCTTCTAACAGAGCCCCCCCACATATCAAATCCCAATTTAACCCCTGGCCTCTGGAGCAGAAATGAAAGAGTTTTAAAAATGTTTACATTTTGGTATGTTTTTAGGGAAATGTTGTAATATTGCAACGTTGGCCTTAGGTGGGAGCAACATTTCTGTATTTCTACTCACATTGTCTGAATAAATATATTGAACAACTAAGGGTTAATTTGCAGGATTGATTGCTTACTTAGCCCTATATCAGTATATAGCATGAATAATAATCACACATCACTCATATTTGTTATGAATAATCATTTATCATTTATTAAATAGTAGTCGCTTTGGGATAAAAGCGTCAGCTAAATGCAATTTATGAAAGCCTCACTCAGGATTTGTTTTACCAAGTGTAAAAGTTATTTAATATATAAAGACTATATTATTATTGAATTACAAGATTAGATATACTTTATTTGATCTAAAATATTGATGTGTTCAAATGCTCTTCTAAACAAAACTGTTTCTGTGAAGGAAGCGCCATCTCCTGGTTAAATCCTGAAATTGAAAATCTGGCAACGCCCTCTTGGAATATAGTGGGAGGGCTTAACATTCCCAGATACTGGTCTTTGGCAGGTCTTAGGCAGGTAACTGGCTGGTAGTAGGCAGGAAGCAGTAAGCTGGAGTCTGAAATAAGATGCTCCATCTGTAGATCTCCATGGTAACTTATGCTGAGCGGCTAACCTCCTCGGGAGCAGGTTAGGTGGCAGGCTAAGAGATCAACTCAGTGAAAGCACCGCCTGCTGACCAATCAGAGCTCCGTGTGCGGAGTTTAAAGCGATCAAGTCATATTACAGGATAGAGGAAATACAGAAAAACTAGCCGTTGCAGGAAAGACGGCCGGCAAAAATTCACCTGACTGTGTGAACGTGAACATTAATAGAATATCCCCTCCCATCTTCAGAGCAATCTGACTATTATAACATTAGCGTTAAGAAAGCTTACTTAAATATCTGCCACGACATAAGTAACCGGATCAGAGTAACATTACGTACAGTCCGCGGCACTGTGAGTGCAGACGTCGATGTGTCCCATTATCATTCATATCATATCACATCATAATGTATCATATATCTCCTTATCTGAGTCAGCTGAGCCGTATCTGGCCGTGCAACACTCACAGTGTCACATCTCATATTTGACTAATATTAAAGTTGACTTTTCATTCAGGAAGTATGACGCTGCGCTGTCAGTACGCTTGTCCATGTTTGTGATTGGTCGAATGCTCCAAATACCACCCCTTTCATGTGAACGCGCACCTAACTAGATAGGACACGGCTGGCTTGAGCGATCCACTTGATAACCAGCGTCGTAGGACCGCTTAGCGAGAGCCAGAGGTGGGAGTAAGTCCTACATGTGCAAGTCATGAGCAAGTCTCAAGTCTTGACCTACAAGTATCAAGCAAGTCCCAAGTCACTGTGGTGAGAGTCAAGCAAGTCAAGTCAAGTCATTGCTCAGGTCAAGTCAAGTCATACGAAATTCTGATGAATAAGCCCAGTTTCCACATTTAAATCAGTTAAAAGACAGTGGTTATGAAAATGGATTCAACCCACACTATGATCTTCATTCACAGTTAATCATTGAAATCTAATTTAGAGAGACCGATGACAATCATATTAGATTCATTTAACCCTAGAACTGCAGACAATATAGCTAGGACTCAATATAGCTAGGACTCAGTATAGCTAGGACTCAATATAGCTAGGACTCAGTATAGCTAGGACTCAGTATAGCTAGGACTCAGTATAGCTAGGACTCAATATAGCTAGGACTCAATATAGCTAGGACTCAATATAATAGCTAGGACTCATATAGCTAGGACTCAATATAGCTAGGACTCAGTATAGCTAGACTCAATATGCTAGGACTCAATATATGCTAGGACTCAATATAGCTAGGACTCAGTATAGCTAGGACTGCAGTATAGCTAGGACTCAATATAGCTAGGACTCAATATAGCTAGGACTCAGTATAGCTAGGACTCATATAGCTAGGACTCAATATAGCTAGGACTCAATATAGCTAGGACTCATATAGCTAGGACTCAATATAGCTAGGACTCATATAGCTAGGACTCAGTATATAGCTAGGACTCAGTATAGCTAGGACTCAGTATAGCTAGGACTCAATATAGCTAGGACTCATATAGCTAGGACTCAATATAGCTGTATAGCTAGGACTCAATAGCTAGGACTCAGTATAGCTAGGACTCATATAGCTAGGACTCAATATAGCTAGGACTCAATATAGCTAGGACTCAAATAGCTAGGACTCAGTATAGCTAGGACTCAATAGCTAGGACTCAGTATAGCTAGGACTCAGTATAGCTAGGACTCAATATAGCTAGGACTCAGTATAGCTAGGACTCATATAGCTAGGACTCAGTATAGCTAGGACTCAATAGCTAGGACTCATATAGCTAGGACTCATATAGCTAGGACTCAATATAGCTAGGACTCATATAGCTAGGACTCATATAGCTAGGACTCAATATAGCTAGGACTCAATATAGCTAGGACTCAATATAGCTAGGACTCAGTATAGCTAGGACTCAGTATAGCTAGGACTATACTGCTAGGACTCATAGCTAGGACTCATATAGCTAGGACTCAGTATAGCTAGGACTCAATATAGCTAGGACTCAATATAGCTAGGACTCAATATAGCTAGGACTCAGTATAGCTAGGACTCAGTATAGCTAGGACTCAATATAGCTAGGACTCAGTATAGCTAGGACTCAATATAGCTAGGACTCAGTATAGCTAGGACTCAATATAGCTAGGACTCAATAGCTAGGACTCAGTATAGCTAGGACTCAGTATAGCTAGGACTCAGTATAGCTAGGACTCAATATAGCTAGGACTCAGTATAGCTAGGACTCAGTATAGCTAGGACTCAATAAGCTAGGACTCAGTATAGCTAGACTCAGTATAGCTAGGACTCAGTATAGCTAGGACTCAGTATAGCTAGGACTCATATAGCTAGACTCTACGTATAGCTAGACTCAGTCAGGTCATGTTCAAAAAGGCAGAATTCCAGGGTAAGAAAATCATAATATGGAATTGCCATTACACATATTTAATTTAAATGTCTGTAAACATAGAACCACCAACAGC